ACAAATAAAGGTCAAAAGAATTTGTCATTTGTATATGAAGAAATAACAAATTGATGTCCAATTCCGAGAATATTTTTCCCCGGTGCCCGTGTGTGTCACTTTCTTGCAGGGTATCAATAATGAATGAGCCAAGTCCTGCGGAGTCGTTCCCATTGACTTGGCCCTGTCCATTAATAATCCAGAAGGCATATAAATCAATCATGCGACAAGCTGATAAACATCCAATAGCTATACAAATATGTATTTGAGTGCTTGGCGCGCATATTGGTATCCGCGTATGTTTACACTAAAACACGTCAACATTTGTGCAGGACAGTCGAACGTGTCGAGTAATTCGGGCAATACTGCAGTACCATTTATTGGATTTCATGCCTCCGTGCGAGGGAGGCCAAGCTGCCATCTATTTTTAGTTTTCCGTAACTGCGCAACAGTTGGAGCTGAAGCTGGGTCTATTTATAGTCCCCAAAGAGCGGTTGGCGAAAAGCTTTCCGCAGGATAATTCCGGTTTTGCATGGACATGACGCTCTTAAGCCGCATAGAGATAAATATAAACACTCTAGAAAGCAAAGGTGGATTTCGATTGGAATTGCGAATACATATGTGAAGTTTTATATTACAAATAACATAATACATTTGAAGTCTCTATCAACTACCATCTGTAATAAAATCACTTTTAAAAACGCCTAAAAGTATACTTTAACCTTTACAACAAAACACTTTTTTCACACTGCTATTATTGCATACTTTTAGACACTTTGTAAATTGATTTGAAATAACTTAAGAATTTCATTGCTTTAAATACTATTATTATTGCATACTTTTAGGCAGCTTTTCAAAAGATTTTAGACAACTCAAAAATGCAACTGCATCTTTAATTTCACTTAAATACTCTGAAAGTGAGGTTTACAACAAAGTAATTTCTTCGGACTACTATTGTTGCATACTTTTAGACACCTTTTCAATAGATTTCAAACTTAAAATTGTATTTTACTTAAAGTTAGAAACATACTATGTTTCATATTTCCAAAGTTCAGCCCTTTGAAAGGTCATAAGCAAGTTTTCCTTAGATTTCTTAGATAATAACAGCCAACATGTTTCTCCACTCAAATTTTCGTGTATGTAGTTCACAACTTTTGCTTAAGCATTGCTGAAATTTTAAGACAAATCTTAATTATATCCGAAGGTCTCCCTTGACAACTCTTGACTTTTCCGGCGTGCTTTGGCCCGGGAAATTCCATTCGGCTGCTAAGTATGCCATGGTTAATAAACAAACCTCTTCGTCCTGCTGGCTGGGTTGACAAATCCGGTTCCTTGAAGGGTACATTTCGCTGCCATTCTCGGGCCGTTTGTTGTGCTGCCTCAGAATGCCAGTGCACCTGTTCGTTCTTAGCCCCCTCCACTCGGGTATAATATGCAATGTCTGTGCCTCCATTCTGCTCCACTAGAAGTGGAAAGTATGCAATGCTTCTTTGCATTTCAAATGTCTAGAATGGAGCCTTCGAGTCGGGGGCTTTAAGTGCTCGCGGGTGGGCTTACTCCGCCCAGCTGTTCCAGCTGTTCTCGTACTACCCTTAACCCATTTCATCGTCGTCTTTCTCCAGTCTCCGCTGTTTTTTTTCCTGGTGCGCACAATTACACAGCAACAATAAAAATAAAAAAGGAGGTAGCAAAAGCTTTGGCCCGTAATCAGAAAAACGTAAAAATTTCTACAACCAGGTAACGAAAATATTTGAAATTGCTTTTTGCCTTTGCCACCCCGTTGAAGGACCTTCCCTCCCCATCTTCTTCCAGATTTTCCCATAGCCTTTGCTTTGGCATTCCGTCTGCCTAATGGCGTATATTTTAGGTTCGGTTTCTTTCGTCCTGTCTTATTTATTTTTTTCCTGTCGCTTTTCCTCACTTTTCCGATGTTGAGGACCCATCTCAGTTGACATTTTTGTTTTGCTCTGGAACGCTAGAGCGCAGCGTCTTGATAAGGTTAATTGCCCATTTCTGTCATACCCTTCATAACTCAATGGGCTTGCTAATAACTCCTTCGAGGACCCTTTGATGTGGCGAGGATGCTTCATCTCTAGCAATGAGGGTATTTTCGATTCGATCTGGAATTCCCTTGGCTTTGTTCATATATCTCACCGTCTTTTGGCTGTCGCACATATCGAATTCTGATTTGACGCTCATCGTCGGCGACATAACACAAATATTTGGGAACACAGCAGGCGACAACATTTTGCGACTTTTCTGCCAAAGGTCATCGGAAATTGGGAAGGTTCGGGGCAAACTCGATATTCACATATCGAGCTTATGAAGGATACTTATTGTCGCATATTAGAGCAATATGAATTGAATACCGAATGTAAGTGAGCTCATTGACATGGCAACCTTGCCGAGTCATAGTAGTTCAATACTAAAAAGGACCCATAAAGTCCTTTTTGCCCAAAACCTATTATAACAAAGCCAAATGGGATCGCATTACTATTGCCTTTCCTTCAAAAAGATTGCCCAAATTTAATTTCATATTTAATGTCTCCTATAGGTTATAAGAAATGTAAAAATTGCTAAACTTTTAAAAAGTTAAAGGTTTTAAAAAAAATGTATGACAAAAATCGGTTATAACTATTTAGAATATTACGAAAACTTATAAACAGTGAAAGTTTATAATGATATGCCACCAATCAATTACTTTTTATAAGAATACCTGATAAATAAACAGTGTGGCTTACACTCGCCTTTTTTACATGCAGTTAAATTATTTAAATCTATAAACATTCCTTTTTTTCACAAATCTAGATTAAATACCCAATCAACTACAAAAAGCAATATGCGCTTACTTTGATTTACATATATCCTGGCTAAAAAATTCCAGTCAAACACAATAAATTCAACCAAAAACAAATAACAAACATCTTTACGGTTTCTCATATTGTGAAATACAATATATTGCTTTTATTTGATTGTGCCTTTTTCTTCTTCAATTTCAGGAAAATTGTCGGAAATAAAAATTTGAAAGCAATAAAGTTGTGGTTTTGCAACTAAACATTTTGTTTGTTTTCTGCACACATTTTTTGGTTTTTTTCTCTGGCTCAGAACCCATTCCCTAAAACACTGACCACAGAAACCACAACAATTGCAGCTGGCAAACAAACAAGAGATGTCAAAAACAATTCAAATGTTTCGAAACAAAAAAAAAGAATTACCCAACAATAAACTAAAAATAATTAGAAGTAAGCAAAGTTGTGCTGTCATCAAAAATAAACATTTTTCTTGCAATCATTGGCGTAGAAATAAATTGAAAGACAACTTGTTTGTAACCTTTATGCAAAACAGCAGCGAAAAAGTCAAAAGTCACGGCGCCCGAGAGTGATTTTATTAAAATGGCCACGAAAAAGCCTTTGAAGTTGTCCACATTCAATTGGCGAGTCCAAGGACAATGTTTTGAGGGTTTGAATGGGGTGCAGGGATTTTTGGTGGGGGGCGTTGCCTGGACAAAGAGCCATAAAGCACACAAGTGGCGCACGGCGAATGGCGAACGGAAGTGAAATGGAAATTATGATAAGAAGTTCGGAGGCATTCGGAACTGGACAGTCATTAGAATGGAACTGGAGCGCCGAATTATGTAGTCAGCGAAAAATAAAAAAATAAACAGTGAGCGAAAAGGGTTAAAAAATATGTCTCGATGTTAAGTGCTTCATTTAATTAACAAAGTTGACATGAAAGCCCGACCCCAAACCAATGTCATCCCGCAGTTTTCGTTCTGTCCTTTTAGCAATACCCTAACTGATGGTAGGGGACTATCATCATTAATGGCAAGTTTTCCTTAACCCTTTGAAGATTATTTTTGGAATCGATTGTTATTGGCAGCGAAGAAAACTTTTTGCTGCCTTAAGGTTTATTTTTAGAACTGATTGCTTAGAAGGTATTATAATCACATTTAAGGGTATCCAAAGGAGCAATTTCGGATAGGTTTACCTTTATTTTGCCTCTTAATTGTTTGCCTTTGAAATGGAGCAGGCTGAACAGATGGCACCACTTGAATCGCGGCACTCATACGCCAGGTGGGCCACAATGGAATTACTTTGGTTAATTTGATTTGAAATTTGCATTTCCATAGATACGAATGTGCACGTGTATTCGTGCGTTGTTGACACGGATTTTGCATAAATTTAATTAGGGATCCATGGCTAAACAGTTGCCAAATTGGAGATGAGTTTTAATTAACTGTGGCTGTGCCACACCCATCCAATGGCCTGTTGCTGTTTTTGTTGGGCATATGTGTGTGCTATCCTATATCCCACTAGGAGCCCCCGAACCATTCAACCATCCCATCCAAACACCCAAAGGCCATAAAAACAACAGCTGCACATTTCGCAGACACATGATATACGGCAGCAAATTGGACGACATATTCCATATAATACGCGTAATACTCGTGTACGTGGCCATAATAGTTTGCCGCGATAAGGAAGCGGTCAATAAAGTTGCCCGAGGCCACATCATCAAAACATTACGGCCATCTCTCGCCCTGCGTCAATATTTGTCTGCCTTGATTAAAGAAAATATTCGCATGATTTCGACTTTTCGGGATTTATCCCGTCAAATGCATCGGTAGCTAAGAGCGAACTTAAATATTGATTTGCCCAAAAATTGCATAAATACTTTATGGCGATAATAAAACGGATTTGCTTTTCCCAAATCGCAATTTCGCGCGTTCTGTCCGATGTTATTAGCCATGAATCAACTTTCTGCTGGACCTTCCCAACTCCCGATGGCCCTCAGGTGTTAATAATATATGTATATCGCACATACATATGTTAGCCATGAATAATTCACTGGAGTGTGTGATCGTGTATGTGTGGAATTCACGGGTTTTAAATTAATAATGAAGACTGGCGTCAATAATTAAAAGGCAATGAATGCTTTGCTTGTTATCATTAATTGCATGGGAAATGTCGCTGGCAGAATGTCGATTTATTAACCATTTTCCCCCGAATTCAAGGACTCACCTGGTAGATAAAGACTGGAACTCCTTTTTCCTTTCTGCTGCGCTCGAGGTCCTTTTTCCCCTTTAACTTTTATGGCTGCATAAATTGACACTCAGCTTGTTCTTGGCCAGAACTCGGAATTTCTGATGGAAATTTCAACTGAAAGTTGCTGCTCCTTTAGGTTTTTTTTATGCCGATATTTTTTGTAATTTTTATTTTAGCATCATTTTCAGTTGTGCACTTTTCGTATTTCGGTTTTCGTTTCTCGCTTTCGGTTTCAAACTTGAACAAAACATTCAGAAGCATACTTAATGGGGCATGACCAAGGCCGAGATCGTAAAATGAATGGTTATGGTCTAGTTCCCCCAAGTGCAGTGTGGTGTAGAGTGTCCCGTGTCCTGTGTTCTGTATTCCATGTGTCCACTTCTCTAAGTCCTATATGGTGTGTGGTATATGGGTGTCATATGTGTGCAACAGTTGTCGGGGGTTTTTAGTGGGGAAAATGGTTTCGGGCAAATGGATTTTTATTTTATTGCCTGGCAGTAAAAAGCGAAACTGCAGGCCGCGCAACAGTTTGCAATTATGTGCAAATGCAGCGTGACATAAACGGGGCGTATACCGTCGTTTTGGCCCTTTTATCCTTGGTCCTTTGGCTGCAAGCAATTTCCTTTTAATTGCTGCTGCTGCTGCTACTGCTCCACCTCTCACAATTTAATTCAATTCAATTTGTATTAGTTTGGTCAAGTTTACTTTGCCTGGCTTCGTTTCGTTACGTTTCGTTTGATTTCACTCGCGCACTCACTTTCACACTTTTTTTTTTGTTTGGTCTAGGAGGATTGGATTGGCTCCTGGTTGTGCTGATGGTACTGATTGCTCGGCTTCCGACTCTGGAATCTGGACTTCCTCTGGATCCGCTGCTTGAATGGAGCTACTACCTTCAGCGACGCCTGCCCACAGCGAACTGAGCTGCTCCAGTTTCGGGCTTCGCCTTATAAGCCACTGCGTGTCGCATCCATCGCACTGTTGCTGCTGCTCCTGTGCTATCCTTAATGCGAGTCCTGCCGAGTCCTCGCCAGTCCTTCCAGCCAGCCGTTGTCCTGTGATAAGAGCTGGCGTTGGTGTGCGTGGCAGGAGAGAGAGAGAGAGCCCAACACAGGCACGGGGAGAGAGAGAAAAGCTCGGAGAGGGGTCAGTTCCGTGCGATGTTTTTGGCGTCGGGTCCCCAACATCCCAACTCTCTTCAACAAAGCTCGACGGGGAGTTCATCCGTTATAAACATTTGAATTTCAAATATCACATTTCTTCCTAAATCTGACACATTTTTTATGACAAATTCAGAATGTTTAACATAAGTTTATGCCAACATTCTCTTGAGCAGTAGTCACAGAATTTTTAAAAAGGTTTTACCAGATTTTTTCGGTAGAAAGTCTTTTAAAAAAGGGAACATTTACATTATGAATTTGTTATTTTTCATTACAATTTCATTTTAACTTCATAATTGATTATTTTTAATTTATTTCAAGAAAATTTACTTAAAATATAGTTTCGAGTGAATGCCATATTTGTCTCAACTAAATATTGTTTTTACAATAATAGAGTTTAATATAAAAAATGGATTTTGTTTATTTTATAAGTTCTCTACATACATATAAACCAAATGGAAATTTTTTTAACGCCCTCAAGATATAAGAATGTTGTAATAAAATGGGGAAAATTTCTATTATAATTCAATTCGTTAATAGAAAAATAATAGATAATTTCTTAAAAATTTTGTCAATCCATGAAATATTTCTTTTGTCTACAAATTTTATTACATTGAATATTATTATATTATTGTAAGGAACTATCATTCAAAGGCGCTGTCGTGAATAAAACCCTTTTTGCCTTTTCCCCATCTCTTACTATGTTTTTCCCATCTCGAAGGTCTGGGTTGGTCATGAATGAACTCCCTCCTGTTGCATATGTTTCCATGGCCATGTAGTGGTGAGGGGTTCGGATTTGGCCTAGAAATGAAACATAGAATCCACCCAATAAGCCACCCACCCACTCAGACACACACAAACCCATTGGGCTCCCCTCTCCGTGAAGTTCAAGATGAAGGTTAGCGCCGAAAACTCGAAAAGCTGCGGCAAAGCTTTCGCTCTCCGCGTCGCTTCCGCTCTCTTTGTTTCTCGCTGACTCTCGCCTTCTAACATGTTGCTCTTGCTCGCTCCGCTCCACTTCGATTTGTTTTGTTTCCTTTTTGTTTTCCACCATGGCGCCCCAAAAATTATGATGAGCTCCATCAAGCGACGGCGCTTAGCGCGCGTTGGTTTCCTTCCTGCGCTTTGGCCACTCGCCATCCACTGAACACCACCCTCAACCCACCACCTACCACAAGGCGTACCACTCATATCCTGCCGAAGATTACACATAGAAAAAAATTCATAAATTCAATGGCGTCCTTGCGGAAGAAGTTTATTGAAAAAGGTAGTTACAATTAGAAAATAAATATATTTTAAAAAATCTTTTGAAAAATATAAAATAATATTTGGCCGTATTATTATTAATACACACAAATATGCTTTAAAAAAATCACAATTTTCTTATTTAGAGTACAAACATCTCATTAGATCTCATTCGTTAAGATGGACAATATAGTAACATTTTAGAAATATTTTAGTATTTTATTTCATTGATGTTATAGTTATATTGAAAAATATTTTGATGCTAATATTTTTATATAGTTATATTAAAACATATTTTGATTTAAATATATTTTCCAAGTGCTATTTCTAAGAAATTATCGGCCAATCAATGTTTCAATCAATGTTTTAATATTTTTAATATTTGATCCAAATATTTTTTCAAAGTACTATTTCTAAAAAACTAAGGCCACCTTAATCATCTAATTTTCCCATGTTACCTTCTAATGTTACAATGGTATAATACCATTAATTTACCATCTTTTTGAAATGAAATATATTTAATGGCACTATAAATAATTCAGAAATAGTTTATATCGATGAGTTATGGCTAATTTTCTCCCTGCGATGATTGACCTTTTTTCTTTCTGTACTTGAGTTGATATTGTGCGTCTGTGGGCCGCCCGAATCTGAATCCGTGCGGAACGCAACGCCACAAGGACCCGGAACCCCGCCTCTCGCCTGGTGACCCAATTCCCTGCCTCCATGTACACGGCGCTCAGAAAATGGAGACAGGAGATTCAGGCGCACTGGTATCGCCACCCAAAGGCAGTGGCATCAGCACTAGGGGGCGGGCAGAGTGTCCGGGATTGAAGGCATTTTCCGTACCCACAGATTTGCAGTCATACCTTGCGCTTGATTGGCCTGGGACTTTGGCATTTGGGTTCCATGTGTTCGCTCGGAGGTGTGAATGCGACACATTTTTGCATCATGCATTGTTGGCCCGAGTCAACATTTCAGTAGGCAGTGATTGATGTTCTGGACATCCACCTCACCACCAACCCATTCGAAGGACAAACGTGGCAACAAAAATTAAGCTGCTTAAATAAGCGGCCATATCGAGAAGGTGTACCATGTATCAGGTCTGGAGTAGGGACTTCGGGGGCTACAGATTACAGAGTTACAGGGGCAAGTGCGCCGTAACTAACTATTCTCGTTGCTCTCTTGGACTGTGAAAATGATAAAAGTTTTGTGCGTCTCCCCTTGGCTTGCCTGCTATCTTTTCTTAATTTGAGTTGGGCCAAAGCAGCCAAAGTTGTTCGCTGTCAATGATGTGAACTTTTGAACTTTGATTGGTTGCCCCTGCACACACACACACAGGCATTCTTCGACCCATAAGCCAGGCTTATACACCTTCAAACACTTTAATTTTAGGCTTAACCAGATTTTAGTTTTAGTTTTCAAAGCAATGCCACTGAATAACTCAATTAGGGTAGAAATGTTCGGATAAGCCTAGATTTAACAAAATAATTGAAATTCAAAACCAGATAAATAAATATATAATTGGTTTAGCTGGAAATATGCCAGAAATAATTTGATTAATTATCAGAAAATGTATTCTTTGTTTAAAGAACTTTAAATCAATTTTTCTGCTTACTAAATTTTCCTAATAAATTTGCAAACATCTTTTTGCTGTTTAAGTTCTGGAGAATGCAAAACAAGGTCATACAACGTGGCATGATTAAAAATCCAAATAAGCAAACAAATGCCTTAAATACCCGAGCTCTCTTGAACGGAATGCCTATGATATCCTTGAGGTATTCCTGCAGAATGCATTCGCCCAGCTTCATTAGGCTGCCGGCAAAAGACAAAAGCCAGGTGCACTGCAATCCCTATTTTAAGACCAACCTGCATACCAAGTCCAAGATAAGCCGTAACCCACAGAGGATTATGAAGTAATAAGGGCAGTCGACTCAGGGAGATGGAATGCAAATTAAATGGCAGCAAAATGCCAAAGCAGTGCCCTCGAAATGCCACTTATTTTTAGCCAGGTCAAGTCAACCGATACAAATCACTTTCACTAATTATGCCTTTGCACCAGCTATCTTAAGAGTCCGCCTGAAAAGCCAAAGGACACTCAGGAAAGTAAGGTGAAAAGGAGTAAAGGAGAAATACACAGAGAATAAAAATAAATACGATATCATTTCGATGATTTATTGTATCAATTATATCTAGATAAGAAACATATATCACTTTCGCAATAGTGCTTTTTACTCTCCTTTTCTACTTTGGAGAGTTTCGAATACTGTTGTGTCCTTCTAACCCAGAGAAACGTTATGCTCTATATCAATACTTTCTCTCCTTTTTCGATTTGAGAAATTGATTCCTAAAAAATGTTCCATGCGAATAGCAAATTGATCTTTTGATTTTTTGTCTGTGCACGTTTTGCTTGTTTTTCCCAGTAAGTTAGGCCAAAGTGCATAGGTTTCCTGAGTTTCAGCTCTTGGGGTCCTGGCTTTTTTCTTACAATTCCTCTTCAATTGCTCTAGCTCACTCACGGTACCATCTCTCTTCCTGAAAAAGTATAAACACTGATAAATAAAAGTGAAATGAAATAGCAACGCACACTTTTTTGGGCAGTTCAAGGTGCTTGCCACACGCTGCGACAATTTTCGGCTGACCAAGAAGATAAAGCAAGGCGATAGTCGGCCAAGAGTCCAACTAGCCATGTCTGGGGCCACTGGCCGCTCCCTGAATCCAGCTGTCTGCTTTTCGGGCTTCTCCTCTCTTTATTTTTTGGTTTTTCTGGTTGACCACTGAATGTCCGACTTGCTGGGTGCGCCATCCTATATAATATATATTTGTATGTATTTGCCACCTGAGGTCACGAAAACGTCGCTTCCTCGCCGACTGTGGCTTAGTTTAATTAAAGTTCTCTTGAAAATTCGACGTTCGTATTATATGGCTTTATTTGCTGGCCTGTCTGCTGGCTGACTACCTGTCAGCTGAAACGGCGAATTGAGTAATTTATTTCTCCCTAGGCAGCTGCAGCAAATTGTGCACACGTGGCGTATGCGTGTTGTTCGCCTTTAATTGTTCATGCAGTGCTTGCAATTTCATTTTATTTTCCCATTTGCAAGTCCTCCCTCGCGCTGCGGTATATTTATATTTTTATTGGCCAAAAAGTTAAATTTCCTCTGTCTCATTTCTTTTTGTTGTGCCCTCGCTGTCTGCAAACTTTTGTCACCTAAATCATTTAGTGGAATATCGCTGGGGCCGTAAAGCAGACAACATTAAACGAAGTGCCCGGTAAGCACCAGCACCAAGCGCTGAGAAATGGTTAAAATTTAGCTCAGCTCATTATGGAAAGAGCCATAAGCCTGGTTTTCAAGTCTGCAAAAATATTGTAATGTGGCTTCTTGAGGAGTTAAGACTTTAAAGGTGGTGCCCAAAGGGATTCTGTTTTAAATTATGTACATTTTGAGCATATTTTTTATCACCCACTCACATATGTATTAAATATTACGTACTTAGGTATAAAGTATATATTAAGTTCAGAAAAATATTGTTCTGTCGGTTCTTAAGAGGTCAATTCTTTAAGGGGTCTTTAAAAATAAAGTATCTTCAAGGCATATTTATTGTCAAGCAATATTTTTTAAAGAACCTGAAGGTGGCTGAATAATAATGGTATTTTTTCGAAACATGCATTTCCAAATAGATATAAATTTTTAAATAAGATTTTATATAGCAAATTTTATACAAAAGGTTTAATCTCTTTTCCAACAACCCTAGATTGTTCGCTGAATTGAAATAACAACTCTTTTATTGTAATACCCATTCACTTTTTGCTTCGAACCATTTTATTAGTTATTTTGTTTTACTCGGAACTAGATTTAATAACTAGTTTTAGTGAGTTCAGAAGTAGCTATAATTTATTTCTATTATGAGTTGGGAAATTTGCTGGGTTTTATAGTTTGGAACCGTGAGTACTTGACCAGGAGAGCTGAACAAGATAATAAATAAATCTGTGTCTTCAAGGCCAGGTCCTTCCTCGCTGTGCTGGTGGATTTTCAAGCTTATTTTGGCCAACGGGAAACAACCCACCTGCCACCTGCCACCTGCCCATTTGACCGCCCACTGTGCACCATCGATTCGCAGTTTTGGCGGCTTACAAGACGCCCTGTGTGCACACATTTTGGCAATGTTTTCGCTCATTTACCAATTTGCAGCGGCCCTGTTGGCCATGTTGCGTGTTGGCCATATTATACACTCCCTTGGCCAATGATGATCGATGCGTTGACGGTGGCGGACAGGAGTTATGACCGCCGATAGGGGCAGCACGCACATTTTGCAGACTGGCCGGTGTCCTTGCCCTTCGACATTTTGTGTGATGTCGCGCCTCGCATGGAAATTGGTAATATTCACTCAATTTATTGACTAATTGCATTTACACTAGCTAATGAAAACGCTCAAATGCCAAATAAAATGGCGAATTTATCAAATTTTCTCACGCGGCGAAGGCCATCGTTGGGTTCAGTGGACAACGGGGCGCATGAGTAATGGCAAATCAACGTCGCAATGTGGGTCGAATATTTGAAATGCTAATTTATAAAATGGTCTACGCTGATTCGATTCGAGATACAGAGCTTTGCTGGAGGGTGTGAAAATGTAATTTACGCAGAGATTAATGGAAAACTCGTTAGGCTGACTTGCGAGCTGAGTTTTTTTGAGGCTCACCGGTTTAGTTTGGGAGTCAGGAGTGTTGTGTATTCCTGCAACTGTCTGCTGTCAAATGAATGTCGGCAAGTTTTTGCGGTCAGGGAAATGGAAATGGAAAGGGGCTCTGCCTCACCTGTCGCCCAATCTTCTTCTGCAGGTGACAGCCGGAGGAGCAGGATGACTGCAGGCTTAAGGAACAAGTCACTCGGTCCAACTGACGGCAACTTTCCAATTAGAGGCTATAAAAAGTTTACCCTGCTGCTGCCTGGTAAATAATTGAATTGTTTTGGCCATGTCCACATGGCTATCAACTGCTTGTTTTTGACTTTTGAAGTGCCTTTTGTTATTGCACACCACGTAATATTTTATGCACTTGCAGCCAGCTTAATTAGTGCGAATTCGAGAAGCTTTTCCCTTTGGCCAACTTTCATCAGTTGGCCAGTAATTGGTTCTTTGGCCTAGTCAGCATTAAAGTTTGTTTAAATTCGGCACTGTGGGAAAACCGTAAATTGGTATCGTTTCAGGTAAACCACACATTTTTAAATTTATTTGTTGGTAAGTAAAAGGGACTCAAAGTTGAATGTCATTCCTTTTTAAATCGCAATTTAACTAATTGGTTAATTTATTAAAATTACTTAATTTTTTTAATGCTGACTTTTGTCGTACAATTATTATGCTTATTCATTTTTTGAGACATTAGAAAATCGTAACAATTTGTACACTGATAGAAAACATTAAGCACCTTGACCTTGTTTCAAATATTTTCTTATTAAATCATGAAATTTAAATGTTTTGTAATTTTATAAAGATGTAAGAACCTCTTGCTAAGAGTAAATTTTAAATTCAATATACAGATATTTATTTTACTAACATAAATCATTGAATTTCGAAACTTTTCTGTTAGTGCCTTTATACTATACTAAGTTCTGCCGGCTAATTAGAAAAACAGGGACCTGATGGGTGACTTGGGCTGGAAGGATATCCGGCACATTATGATTTCTGTTTACCACCTCCGTGCGGCTCAAACAAACACACAGATGAAGGTTGTTTGCAGCACGCATAATCAAGGGCAGGGGACAAAGGCAAACAAGGAAACAACTTGTTGCAACTACAAGCAGAACAAAGTGGGTACACACATGTGAGTCGACACCAAAGGACACAGGTCCTGCGAACCAGCTCGAGAATGGGAAATGCGAAAAGCGAGCTGGGAGCTGCGGGCGGAAGTGGGCTTGGAAGTGCGAAAGGACGCCCGGCTCAGATTATAAATTATTTATACTGTTTGCCGAACAGGTAAAGAGTTTACACTCTGCCCGGGATATTTGTTCAGGTCCATTGGGAGACGATGAAACGAGCTGGAATTTGAGAAAGAAATTCGATTTTATCAACAAACCACTCAGAAAATAATTTCCATCGGTATTAGTTGTCTCATTATCATTTCTGTTATTACTTTTTATAAGTCTTACATTGGGTTTCTTAACAATAACTGTAATGTATTGGAGTATTATAAACCTATTCCAACTTACACTTAAGAGTGTTTTTCTTGAATTCGGTTTGCAAAAAGTAAATATTATATAGTGAATTCAATTAAATACCTTTTATATAACATGATGTAACATCATTGAACATCAAGTTGCTAAAAAACGTATTTTAATTCAAATCGAATTCGACTATATTACTTGAAAGTAATAATCAGAAAAGGCCTTTATGTTAAATTCTTTTTAGCATATCCCTTTTTCTCACTGTGTTTTAGTGTGGTTGACCTTGCTGGCCAATCAATTGCTAAACAAAATTCAATTAGATTGCACATTTTTATGGCTCAAACACAGGAACACGATCAAATGGGCCCGCAGGAGTGGAGTCGATTACAACAATCGTTTTTACATATTGTAAACAGGACAAAGCGCAATTGTTACTTGCACAAAGGACTTGCAATGCACACAAAAACACACACATCGAAAGGCGGGAAAACAATGCCGAACAAACAAACAAATGGTTGTGGGTGGTGAAAAGTGGACTGGGGGGGGGGGGGCTTTGGAAATCGAAGGTGAGGCCGAAGGGAAAATAGCACGCTGTAATAATTGAAATTCTGTCGCGCAGAGCGAACGAACGACGCCGTTTCCGCTAAGCACTGGCATTCAGAAGTGGGCACGAGCCCACTTTATTCCCATCCCCACATCCTGTATACCACATCCCTACCCATACCAACCATCCAACCGAATCAAACTCGAGGACAACGGGCGCCCCGCTCTTGAAACAATGTAATAGAGTGGCGACAGGAACAACAGGAGCTGCAAACAGCCCAAATAGGAAGCCTTTTATTCGGCGACATTGGAGGCGGATTTCCCCAGTTCCTATTCCCTGATGCTGTTTCAGTTCCTGTTGCCCGGCTATTTTCAATCCTACTTCTGTTTCTAAGGGGGCGATAGCCGCCTTTATTGTTCCGCCAAAGTGTCATAATTGTTTTCGATTTCGTTTGCACTCTCCATTTATTTAAAGTGCCATTTCGTGAGGTCTTTGTTTTGAGTACATGCCTGTAAAAAAGTACATATGTACGTACTATGGTTTAAAGTGAAATATTTTTCAAAGATATTACAAAATTAAACCAACCATAAAAAGATTCAACAAAATATTTTAAAACAAATGCTTGGGAATAAGACTAAGAATCGAGTAACAATATGGTCTTTGATAACATACAGTGTTATGTTGTAAAATCAAAAAAAAAGTTTACAAAAAAAAACATTAAAAATAAATTAAACATTAGTACATTTTAAGGAAATGTTTTACTTGTGCTCAAAGTTTTTATAATTAAGTTGGGTTAGTAAAATAATAATTAAATGGGAAAATTAATATATGTACTAATTCTCAAAGATCACATTCCATCCCTGGTATGCTTATCAGCTGTTTGCCGGTAAAAATATTATGGTTTTCTATCTTTACCTTTAGCTTAAAATCATTTAACTTAAATATGCAACGCTTCCTGAAGGTATTCAACCAGCAAACATGCAAGGTAATCGGCATGATACACGTGGATGCGCTGCCAGGTGAGAGAAGCTCCCAAAAAGTACAAGCAACAAGACTGAATTACTTCTAATCCGGAACCACAACATCAGGAACGCCACGATACACCGGCAACTGGAAGCAGACGATTGAGAAGGCAATTTACGAGGCCAATCTCTACAAGAAACATCAACTGGTAGGATATACAAAAGTAACAAGTACTTATTTTTAAATTTAAATGTCCTTTACAGGATGCCGTGCTCATAGAGAATATGCACGATATTCCCTATGTTCCGGAGCGTCTCCTTGGCGCCGAGATAGTGGCATGCATGACTCGTCTGGGACAGGCAGTGCGGGATGTGATGCCCAAGCAAACTCCGTGTGGTGTCCAAGTCCTCGCCTGCGGCAATAAACAAGCCCTGGCCATTGCCAAAGCCAGCCAGCTGCAGTTCATTCGCAGTGAGGGATTTGTTTTCGGTCATGTGGCGGATGAGGGTTACACGGATGCCTGCGCGGGCGATTTGCTGCGGTACCGCAAGCTCATCGATGCGGAGGATGTGCTGATCTTTACAGATCTGAAGAAGAAACATAGCTCGCATGCCATAACATCTGATGTCAGTCTCTTGGAAACCGCCCATGCCGCAGAGTTCTTCCTCACCGATGGCATTATTATCACAGGAACAGCAACAGGTCATGCAGCCAGTTTAGAAGATCTGCAGCAGCTATCTGGCAGGGTAAAGGTTCCCTTGATTATAGGCTCCGGCGTTACCAAAGACAATATCGGTAGTTACTTCAAGGATGCTCAAGCAGTTATAATTGGCTCGCATTTTAAACGAAATGGCAACTGGCTGGAGGAGATTAGTGAAGATGCTGTGAATGACTTTATGCAAAAGATCTGTCAGCTAAGACAATCTAAATGATCCGAATTGTAAATAATTTTATTAATGTGGTTAAATGTTGTAAACGACGAGTAATGTATACAATTAGTTTGAAGTCATCTAGTTCTAGAATAGATTGGCAAAGAAATCATAAATTCGCTCACGCAATGAAGTTGGTTTTTGTGTGGAAAGACCATCGCTTGAGAATGCAAAGGGTTTCTGGTCCAAAACCGGAGACACTGCATCCAAGGTATCATCAAACTTGACTCTCTTTTTCTGCGGCGGTGAGCAGATCTCATCTTGGCTCCTTAAATGCACGGGGAACATGTTCTCGCCATTGAACAGATCCTCTCGCTTAACAAATGTTGGTATAGTGTTGTCCACATTGTGGGCCCTAAAATAGGACTTGGAGTCCGAGTATCGACTGGCAAATCCATAGCTGGGATCATGGTCGTTGCTGGGCGCCGGCACATTGTTGCGCTTGAGAATGCCCCGAACATTGGCCACCTTGTCACCGGTGGCAATTTTCTTGTACAACTTGGAGATGCGATTCTCCTTGCAGGCCGAATCTCCCACTCTATCCGACTTGTGCCGCATCTGCACATCGTTGGGTGGAAGAGGAGGTGGTGGTGGTGGCGCCACGCGTTTGATTGAGGATGAGGCGGTGGGCTTCCCCATAAGATTTGTAGTTGGAGTCCTTAAGAGGCCACTGGGAACCTTTCGCTTGCGCGGGAAACAAGCACTTTCCTCGGTCTCCTCTTCGGAATCTGTACTGCGATTCTTGTTGCGAAAAACAGTCTCATATTCCTGTAACATATTTAAACATTAACTTAAATCTTATTTATACGATTTGTGAGTACTCACGCATTTGCGCTTGTTGGGACTCAGTACATAATCAGCTCCGAACTTCTTCATGTCCTTTTTGCGTATGGGCGTCCTTTTACTTGAGTCTTTTCGTAGGGTTTTTCGACACTGTACGTGCAGATCTATGGCATCACGGATGAAGCCCACCCAAGTACGCGACAGCTGGACATCGCCGCTGCCAAAAATGATGCCATCGCTTTGGCACGTCAGTTTAAAGTTACCCGGCAGCATTTCGTACACCTTGCATTTCTTCAAAGGAAAAATGCAGCAGCACTCCAGGGAGTTTTCCACCACGGTATTAGGCGCACGTTCTTTGATCATCTTGCAGTACATGAATATATCCGACATGAGCACACAGTACCGCTTGATTTCAGTCCCCTTGTGGGTGATCTTCTGCAGAACACCCTCCTTGATCACCCGTCGCGAGGGCTTCACAATGTTGGGCGTCCGATTTACCAGGGAGTTCTGCAGATGAATCAGATACTGGGTGATTTCCTGCTCCTCCACACAGGCGTTTATGTGACTGGCAGTGGCCTCGATCTCCTTGACGGATTCTAAAAGAATTACCTTGTTCTTTCAATATTGGAATAACTTTTTTCTTGGATCATACCTTTTAAAGATTTGTAGTCCGCGTCAGCGGGGCTCGTGTAGAGCAAAACTTGCTCTAGAAGCAGCTTATACCTGGGAACCCTTTGGATGGGCACAATCATCAGTGAGTTCAGCTTACGCTGCACCTCCGGACGACTTTCGGTCTGCTCCAGAAACTTTCTGAACACCGGATTCTTGCTGATCAAATCCTGGATGATGAACAAGGCACCGCGATAGTCAAAAGCATACACCGAGTACAGCTTGAAGAAGGGGGCCATTTTCAGGAAGGCATGCGCCACATTCTCCATGTTCGCCTCCAATTCCCGTAGGAATTCTCCGTTCAGGTTGTGTATCATCTCGATTTGGCCGAAGAGCAAAGTGTGATTGGAGCAATCGATGATGGCCTGCTCTTTCAAAGGGCGCACAAAGAAGTTCATCAGCAGCTCCAGCTGCTCTAGATACGACTTTTCCGATGAGATGATCTCCTGGATGGCTTGCCGCCGGAATCCCAATCGTTTCCCCGACTCCGGATTGGGTGATCCAATGGGACTGCTGTTGTTGCTGTCCAGCATGGAGCAAACTGTAGTCAAAAAGACACAATTAGAAGTCAGGCACCTGGCGACGCTCGACTATTTTGCTCACCTTTCCTGCGCGACTTGGCGGTTAGAAGGTTCCTCTCCTGCAGCACCTGCCGCAGTTCCCGGCTGAAGCTCAGAGGTGTCTGGGGCGAGGGAACAAAGCCATTTCCGTATCCCTTTTGCCTCGGCGTAAACATTTTGCAGTCCAGTTCTTGTAAAGATCTCAAACGAAAAGGACGCCACACCTGTTCAATTTAAACAAATGCCCGCTTCTGCAGTGTGACCGTACGCAACCGACAGCCACACTACCTTCTGTGAGACCGCATTCGCGAGGTGAGCTTCAAGAATTTCGCACACTAAACATACATACATATTCCTTGAATGATTTTTAAATAGTTTATCTTATAAACCTTCATTGAATTAAATTAACGTTGAGTCGTAATATTTTTTAGATAAATTTAATGCCTGACTGAGCTTAAAAATTCTACTAGGATCAAAGTTTATGGATATAGTATTATTACCTCCGTTTTCAGATTAAGTTTCAATTTAGCATGCCTGAAACTCCGAAAGTTTAAAAAGAAGAAAATTATTACTTTTAAAACTCTTTGAACCCGCGAAGCAGTTGGCTCTGGATGAAGCTATTTTTACGGCATGGTCACACTGGACACAATTATTTATTTTTATACGTGGTTCGTGGCCCAATTAGCTTTTAATTTAAATTTTGTTTTAGCTATTGCTGCACCAAAATGCATGCAAAGCTGAGCGAAATGGAGCTGCGCATAGTGGCGCGACTGAATGAGGAGCTTGGCAAGGATGCCAGCCGGCTGCATCGGGCCAGTAACGTAGTCAGTCACTACAAGGAACGCCTCCAGGCCCTGTCGCAAACGGTAAGAGGAAAAACCATACAGGGAAATCATGTTTTTAATCCACTTACACCACCAGCTCGACTACGAGGATGCCCAGAACGTGTCATGCTACAAATCTGCCTTCCAGTGTCAGCAACAGGTCTGCGAGAGCATCGACTTCGAGCTGGAAAAGCTGGCCCAGTTCGGCGCCAAGCTGAAAAAGAAGCTGCAGGAGTGTCAGCCCGCCCTGGATAGCGTCGCCGCGGATGCAGGAAAAGTGCGGCAGTTGCAGCGCTTGGCGCAGTATCTGCGGCTGGTGCAGGACATCCAGGAGATCAGCGCCGCCTTGAGCAGTGCCATTAATGGCAAGGACGAGGCCAAGCTGGTCAATATCTACTTAACCCTCTACGAGGGAAACGATTGCGAGCACAGTGTGGTGGGGCGTCTGCAGGCCGTGCAGGCAAAGTCCCTGAAATCCTTCGCGGAACGCACTGCTATCTACTGGCACAAGCTGCTCCTCAAGCGGCTTTCCAGCGAATTCGAGGCTGTGCTGAAGAGCATGCGCTGGGCGCATCTGGAGCAACAGGCCCTCAACTATTCACCCACTCGGGACACTGCCAAGGCTCAGCTGCTGGCCGAATACATGTTCTTGATCAAATCTCCAGCCGAAGAGCATGCGCCCCTGCTAAGCATTACGCCTAGCATAGTGTGCCAGCCCATCAACCAGGTGGTGCAGCTCCTGCTGGCGCCCTATCGCCAGCGATTCACATTTCACTTCACCGGCACGAGGCAAACGAATCGACTGGACAAGCCCGAGTGGTTCTACACGCAGATTCTCAACTGGGGCAAGGAGACGCATTTATTTGTGGGCAAAACATTCCAGCCATCGGCCATGAAGGCGGGCAAGTTGGACTACAATCTCAGGGTGAGTACTGAGTGGTTTACTTTAGCTTAATAAATACTAATTATTATTCTCTTTTAGCTGGAGTTTATGCGAGGTCTGGTGCAGTTAACTATAGAGAAATTAGCGGTGGACATAGAACAGATTGCCCAAGATGAGATTTTGTTTGCCCATCTGCTGGATGAGACGTTGGCCTTTGAGTCCGAGCTGCGAGAGACATTTGGTTATCCGGCGAGTTTTCCCAGCGCTATTTCCGTAATCACTCAGCCCATGTATTTGCTTCGTTGGATTTCTCTAGAAGAACGATGTGAGATAATTTCACTTACTCGATTGCATAGTTATTAAATAATCTTCTTTTTCAGTTTGTGCGGAAAAAATGGATGACATTCTGCAGGCGGAGACGCCGTTCCAGCTGATTGATCCCAACACATTCGAGGACGATCTGAAAATTCCCAAGTGTGCGGATCAGTTCATGCGACTGCTGGACGCCATTAAGGATCGCTACTACGGGCTAATTCAGCCCGGCCACCAACTGCAGTTCCTACATTTGCAGCTGGAACTGATCGATAGCTTCCGACGACGCCTGGTGCAGCTGCACAGCAGTGGAGCGGTGCCGAGCATTCCCGTACTAAACGCCATCAACTACTTGGTAATGGTGCTGCGGGAGTGGGGCGAGAATGTGCACTATTTACACTTGCATGCGGCGCTGGCCGGTCCAAACGCACCGGAGATCAACTCGGTGTTTGAGCATGCTGTCGCCGAACTGGAGCACTGGGCCAGGCAACTAACACGCAATCTGTCCACTAAGGCGACCAACGAGATGAAGGCAAAATCGATGAGCTATCGTCATGACGCCTGGCCTACAATGCCCGTGCAGAACATCAGGGAACCCTTTATCCTCTCGCCCAGTGGCGGTGAAATGTTCCAGGTGCTGGTCACCCTTTTGCACAATCTGGAGCGTGAACTGTCCGCCAATCTGTTCAACCAGACGCTTCGCTTAATAGCCCATCAAATCGATGACTTCATGCTCGAGAGCATGGTCATGAACACGAAGTTTACACCTGCGGGGGCAGCGCAATTCAATTACGACATGACACGCAATTTATTTGCGCTCTTCGGACAGTATACGCGTCGTCCGGAGCTGCTCTTCAAGAGGTGAGTCATTCCGAAATATGCTATAATGCACAATAAACATAAACCTGAAACCTTTCACGTTCGATTCGCCAGAATACACGATGCCTGCAAGCTGTTGACGGCAGCAAGGGGAACGGCTTTGTTACTGCTGGAAACGCTTCGCAGTAATCAATCAGTGGAGGAGAAAACGAAACCTTTACGGGAACTGCATGTGCTAAGCCTGGATAGCAAACAGTGTGTTGAGGTTCTGGAGCGGAGGACGGACATTAAGATGTTTTAAGCAATGAAAAATCTTTATCCTAGCTAATTATTTTGTTTTAATTCTGAATCATTGTTTTTAATGGGCCTTAGGAATTTTTCATACATACAACGATTGCACGCCGGCTTTTCTGCGAAATAAAATGATTTTCAACTGAAAGTTGATTTGATAATATATTTGTTTTCTTGATCTGCCCTTTAATAATATTAATATTAAAATGTTATAAAAATATACTGTAATTTACATAATTTTTATTTGCAAGTAAGGCATGTGTATAAACAAGACGGAAATTTAACTAATTTGTATTACACCAGGACATTCTTTTGAACTTCTGAAATTGCTAGTAACGACCAAAGTTGTGTGAATGAGTTATAAGTTCGAGTAACATATACATATTTACAATTAAATATCGAATCTTCGCCCTGGGCGCACAAGTCTTCAATGAGTTCTGGTTATTATTAGACAATTAGTTGGTTTTAGGATTTGATGTTTGGTTTAATTGGTAAAACGTTGACACAAAAACATGCGGTAACTGTAATAATAAATTGCTCTAAAAATACATAGCGTAAAATAGCATATAACCGGCCTGATCGGGCTCGAATCGCAGATAGCGCATTTGACACATCCAATACTGACTGATTCACGGCTGATCAGGGCGTATTGTATATCGCCCGTTCTCGGTTGACAAACAACTGCAGTTAGTAAATACCAATTTGCGACTCGAGACGCACATCACACATCATCATCACATCGTGGAACAAGATCATGGCGCATTGTCCGCAGAGAATAACTTTATGTCTACACTAAATAACCGATAATAATCCGATCTGCGGGTGTCGTTTGCCTTTGTATCCCCTTCTATTCAAAGTTCTGATAATTCTCAGCGCTGACGAACTGTGCCCGCTGCTGGGGTGTCATATTGAGATTACCGCGATTCTTGTTGTTGTAGGCCCACATGACCCCGGTGGCCATCAGGGCGATAGTCAGCCAGCCCATGAAGAAGAGCTGCAGCCACATGTGCTCGCCGTTGCTTTTATCCGAAATGATACCGGCCAGGATGGTGATGACGGCCAAGCCAAGATTCTGGATCGACTGGCAGAAACCGTAGGCCGTGCCCAACTGGTATTCCGGAATGATGAGGGCAACCAGGGGCCACAAGCTGGCGGCCAGCATGGAATACGAGAGTCCCATGATGACCATGCCCACATAAGGTGTCAGCTGGGTGAAAGTGAGCAGGGCATGCGCTCCGATGGTGGTCATCGTGGCGGTAAACACCCAGGTAACATTCCTGCCCAACTTGTCGATGATGAATCCAAAAATGGGCGACGATCCGGCTGCAATTAGATACACCAGCGAGTCCACAGTGTTCGCCTGCGCCGGAGTATAATCGAAGCGGTCGACGAAGAACTTCTGTCCCAGGGCAATGAACGGAAAGATGGCGACATAGTAGGCCACGCAAATGACGGAAACCATCCAGAAGGGAGGCTTGAACGAAAATACATCTGTGAGCTTGGGAACCTGACCAGCCGGGTTGGTGTTCCTCTGCAGGATCCGCTCGGCCCGCTTGTCCATCCAGCCGAGGATGAGAGCGCAGACCATGGACATCACACAGGTGAGAGTGGCCAGCAGCAGGACGACGCCGAGCGCGGTGTGCCCTTGATAGAATTTGCTGACGTAGTCGTAGATGGGCTGCATCACCCAAAAGTTGACGGTGCTACCGAAACGAGCCACCGACAGCTGCAGGCCGAAGACCATGTTCAGTTCCTTGCCCTTGAACCAGAGCACCGCATAGCTGTTCTGGGCCACGGCCAGCGATTCAGCGCCAATGCCGAAGATGAACCGACCCAGGATCATTATCCAGAAGGCGTCCAGTATGCCGCCAAAGGCAAAGATTAGCTGGCCCACCAGCAGGATCAGCATGTAGATGATGGTGCCCAGTCGAATGCCAAAGAGGCGATCGATCAGGAATCCGCCCACGAAGCACAGGACGACATTGGGCCACGAGTAGATGGAGTAGATGAGTGTGAACTGGGTGGAGGACAGGTCGAGGTCCCTCTTGAAGACGTTTTGCAGGGCTCCTGGATTGTCGTAGCAGAAGTAGGAGCCGAATCCCAGCAGGCACATGAACACCAGCGCCATGAACCGGTGACTCGTGCTGGAGGGCATGCAGCAGCCTCCGGAGGGCAGGCTCAGCTCGTTATCCCGCCGACCCCCATCTCGTCGGGCAACAGCGTCCTCCTCCGTTGGATGCGACACCTCCTCATTGTCCACGATGCGTTCCTCGTCCTCGCGCGCCATCTCTACTCACGGCTGGCTCAATCCGTACTGACCAGCGATTGGAACCGAGACCGCGGAATGGGCGTATCCAAAAGTGTATGATTAATAATCGGCTTTCTGATTTCCTGCTGTAGCTCTTTTTTTGTTTCGTTTTGTTTTGTTTTTTTTCTGCCGTTTCTGCAAAATAATTGTATCAATTTCTGCCAACGGGCGAGTTGAACTCTTCTGCTTTGTCTTTCGTCGCTTATCTCGCTGCTTTTGTTTTTGTTTACTGTACTCGCACTAGTACCCTTTGTCTAACGATAGTTGTTGTTGTTGCCTGCCTGGATTTGGATTGTAGTTCGGTTTTAGTTGTCTGTGGGTTCAGCGGTTATCAGTTTTCGCACTCCACTTACAGCTGATGGCCGCTCGGTTATGCAAATTCCCAGTGACGTCTACACCCGCACTTTATGGGGGCTCTGATCGAATGAAACTAAATTGTTTTCTCTGCCTAATTAGCGTTAATTACGCATATACACTGGCGGGGCTGCCAACTCGCTCCAGGGCAGTGTTGTCGACTGCGTTGCAGGTGCAGTCAAACAGCTGGACAGCGGTAATAAGCAATAGGGGTGTTCCTTGCACTGTTCAAAATGTTATTAGCTGTTTTGCGCTTCTACTCAATTTATACAAATAAAATCCAGTTAAGAACTGGTAATGAGCAATAGGGTGTCCTAACCATGTTCAAAATGTTATCTGCTGTTTTGTTTTTTTATTCAAAAATGTCAAAGTTCAATGAATTACGTGTTTGATAAAAGAAGAAATATCCTTAGTAACTAACTTTAAGGATTTTTATTTTTAAGGTTAACCTCAATATATATAAGGTCTTACAGCCAATTCCTGTCTTTAGCCTAGCTTATTTTGTTAGTATTACAATAACGAGCTAATATTCAAAGAATAACGGTTCTAATGGAAGAGTGAATACCCTTAATAATAATTTTAAATTAATAAATTAATACGCCTTTATTAACTGTCTTCAAAAACTTTATAGTGTTTAAATAATAATAATATATAAATTTTACATTGAATTCCCGTCTACTCCTACATAGTCAACCTATTTTAGTAACATCTCACATTGTTTTGATTCAGTTTGGCTAGGCCTGGCAACCCTAAACCAGCAACGCCAAGTTGAAGCATGTTTTCTTGATCTTTACCGGGTAAAATGTATTTAATTATATAATTCAGCGGCATTTGAAGCAATGGATTCCATTGACACCACCAAGCGGAAGCCTAGACGCACTCACGGCACACCATCCTTCATATACCGCAATAGATTTGCCTATGCCCTGTTGGCCGCCGGAACTGTGCTATTCGGAATTTGGAGGTGGGTTTTCCTCCAAATTATCTGATAAATTTGGTTTTAATGTATTGCCCCTCACAGTCTGACGCCCATTCAGCGTATTGCCAACGAAAAGCTGTGTGAGGCGGTGGCTCAAACGGAACAGGAGCGCGATCGAAAGGGTCTTTTTGAGTTTGGCGCTCCGAGGACCTCGAAATTCATTGAGGAGGCCATCAAGGAAAGCGAGGAGCAGAGGAATCTATAATGGATCGCAAGACACGAAGAGCGAACTTTAAAAACCTACAGCCTCGGTAATTTTAATTACATCTTGCTTATTAAACAATAAAATGTTTGTAGTTATCTAACCAAAGACCTTGTTTTCCTACCATCCCAAGATCAACACGAAGCACCAAAGCATGCAATGATAACTTATCGCTATCCAACTTTTTTGCCACACCCAAGGATGCTGGGGAGGATGCCACATCTGCATCTGCCATTCCCTCAGAGCCCGAACCTCCTGCACCCATAATCAAACCAATACGCGCCAGCAATGTGTTCGAAAAACCAGGACCCAAGCCCAAAAAGGCACCTAAACTCAAGGGGAGCAGTGGATCCACCTCGGCCTCTGCCCGTCGAGGTCGCGGAAAGAGCAAACAGCAGCCCAGTATCAGTAACTTCCTGAAGAACGAGCAGATCTTCGCCGAGGTGACCGCCCAGCACTGTATGGCGGACAACTTCAGTCCGGATGACATTGAAATGGCGCTGGCGCTGTCCAAGTCGGAGGCTGAGAAGCAGGGACGCCTGCGCCTGAACGACGACGAGGATGCAGTAATTGACCTTATGAATGATGAAGAGGTATCTACTGAGAAAATACGACTCAAGCTGCAGAAGTATGGCTTTCGCACAGCGGCCAAGGAAGGTGAGTAAAAAATCATTAGTAATTTTAAGAGAGAAAGTACTCTCGTACCTTTCATCATCTTCTAACAGATTGCAAATCCCTGGCCGTCCTACCTGTGGTGGCGGGAAAGGGTGGCAGGCGTGGCAAATGGGCCAATAAGTTCACTGCCCTAACCTTACGCAACCCCGAAGTACAGCAGAAGAAGCTGGAGGAGAAAGTTACAGCACTGCTGGCTCAACAAGTGCGCACACAGGAACTGAAGGGTAAAGACCGTATAATGCCGCCTTATACAGTGATCAGTTCGTTCCTTCAGCAACTGAGAGCTAAAAGTAAATCTCAGATTCTTCGAGAACCAAGCGATGGTGTCATTGAAGATTTAAGTCTATACTACGTAAACGACTTGATTGAAGTTAGCCAAACGCCTGCAAACCATCTTCTCAAGAGCTTTGCTGCAATACAGGGCAGAGATTTATCTCCAGAGCGGGAAACCCCGAAATCCCGTCAGTTAAAGCAGCAACTTGAAATCGTCTATGCAGAGTTGGAAAAGCATTTCGGTGATCAACAGATGTTGGAACAACAAGTGGCTGAGGAACTAGATGAGCTGGAAAAGCTGGTGGCCGAAAACATGATCGAAGATGACTCCAAAGTGGGTGATAATGTGGAGCCCGAAATATCCTCGACTAGTAGCAGCCCATCCAAGGAGCCACCAGATAAGCGGGCTAAAATGGCAATGGATGAGAAAGAAAACCTGCAACCCACAACTTCAAAAGCCAACCTAAGCATTCCCACCCAAACAACCCGCTGCACCTCCCCCGATCTTTTTGCGGAATCTGATGATGAGCTGGATACAGCAACGTCTTCTATCTCTAAAGAACCCGAAGAGGTTAGGCAGCTTTCCATGAAAGTCTACAAAAATCATAGCATATCTGAACCATCTTCTCCGGTCAAGGAATTTGAAATCAAATCCAGCATTGAAGAAGCTAGTCAAATAACAACCTATGAAGTGTTTTCCAGTTCCGGAGATGAAGGTGAGAATACTAATCTGTAGAGAACATAAAATTTATTCTAAACAACATCTTAATTTAACTCTAGTAAAGACTGTTTTCAACGCTTCACAGGAGAATACTTCTTTTGAAGGTAAGTGATTTACTCAATTTGTGTACAAAATGATATCCACTTTTTCATGTCCAGATAAACCCATAGATGACTTCATTGACCTAACCCAAGAGTTCGAAACGTCAGACCTTAATGAACCCACTCCGAAAACAGCACTACCTGAATCTGGCTCTAGTGGGGATATACTCCTAAATTACAGTTCCCAGGAAGCAAGCTGTCCCATCTCCAAAGAGTTGTTCTTGAAGTATGTGAAGGTTGATACATTTCCTATATGGAAAGCAGAAGAAGATGAAGATAAGGATAATTTCTGCTTTAGCTCGGAACCAGAATTGAAAAGTTCCGAGCAGTCATCATTTCATTTAGATATCATAACCACTCCAAACGACTCTAAACGGAGTTCAAGCTTCAGTGAAATGAACTTCTCAAGGAACTCAATGCGAAGAAGCGTTAGTTTATCAACGGATCAAAGCTTTAAAAGTCCGCTGAACTGGAAAATGAACCTATCACCCGAGAAGAGGGTATCACCTGCGGCATCACCCTATAAGCACTCGGATGCAAGTTTGGACTTAACTCAAAACAGCGAGGACGAAGGCGATGTGGTTCTGCTCTCCGACGAGGAAATCAATTATTCCATCTGGAAGGCCAATAAAACGGCGAAGGATCTAACTGTCGACGACGACAGCTCGGATAGTTGTTTTGCCTCTCCGGTAACCAAAAAGCGAGCTATTCCACAATTCCAAACTGAAGACGATCTGGATGCTTTTCTAAAGTCATTTTCTGCGGATGGAAATAGCTCACAGAGCTCACACTCGCCCAACAAAAGTGCTCTTAGCAAGGAGCGTGCTGAGTTTGGAATACTGGATGCTGCTCCATCCCAGCCTTTTAGCATCTCCGAACTACAGAGCCCTGTGAGAAAAGGCTCCCCATCAAATGGGAATATCAATTGGGCGGAGGCTTCGTTTTTGGATGCACCGGCAAAACCGTTGGCTCGCAGAAGTAGTCACAAATTTAATGAGCTACTGGCGAAGATAAGCAAACCTGACAATAGTTCTGATGACGATTTTGATGAGTTCGATCAGATGGTTTTTAAAAGCATCAAGGATGCCTCTAATGTTGCGGAGGACAATGTCACGCCTAGTGGGCTGGATCTTTTGTTAAAGGGTGAAATCAAAACAACGTCAATACCGGAGCCAAGTGCTCCAAAGCAGCAAGCACCAGCTGTCCCCCAGCAGGTGGAAGTAGATGGAAATGTGTACACCGTGCGTGTTTGTCATACACCAAAACCAGATTTCACTACCCTTTCGGAATCAGAGATCCTCCAGCAGCTTTACAACTACGGCATAAAACCACTAAAACGCAAGCAGGCCGTTAAAATGTTAGAATTTATCTACAATCAAACGCATCCTATTGTGAAAACCGTAGCTGTTCAGGATTTGCCACCTAGAACAGAGCCCATTGTCCGCTCTAAATCAACTCCCGTGATGATGGAGAAACCCCACTCAAAACTAATCAAATCAACCACTGAAGTTTCCCTGACACCAACTGAGCCAAAAAAGGATTTTAAATATAAAGATGCCTTTGGCGATGAGCTACTGCGTTTTTCACAATCCCTTCCGCCGAGTCTTTGCGATGACTTCGAGACCTTTGTTCTGCAAACGAACGTTTCCAAGAAGACTCCACAGCCGCTGGTGCCGCTCCACATAGCCTGGCACAATCTTCTCTGCGCCAACCCGCGCCTGCATGAGAGCGTTCTCATGTATGAACCCATCGATTTGCAGGAAGTCTATTTGTACTTAAAGCATTTGGGTCATCGGTACGATCCCAAGGATTTAAAGACATTCTTTGACCGGCGTTGCATTATCTTTCGCTATGATCTGACTGCTCCCGATAAGCAAGCGGAGCGTCATGTGCGAAAGCACCCAAAGAAGCCCTCTAAGAGATAATAGATCGTTAATTCAATTTTCCGCATCAGCTATTATAAGATTCCTTTGTAGTTATACCGCTTTCCGAATGCTTTGTAATTAGTATAGTATTACTTAGAATGTTCTATTGAATACGACATTGTTATTTGGCATACTGCGATTTAAATTTATTATCTGTAAATGTATGAACTGAAAATATATATTCAACTCTATTTGACTGTTCTTGTGTATTTCTTCAACATAATTTTACTAAAAATGAACTCTAGAATTCAAAATTTAATTTAAGTTTCCAACTCCCATCTCTTTATTTAAACTATGTTTTTTTATAATTTTCTGGGCCGTAAATTGAAGATTTATTGATGCAATTTCAGAATACAATATTGGGACACTACGGACGAATACAAATGTAAAGAGTTTGCATTAATGGTTGAAGATTCAAGACACTGATATGTTTTATAAAAATATAATATTGGACAACATTAAATGCAGCATCTGTAGACTACCCAAAAAGGGTATAAACCATTACATTTAAATACAGTTCGATCTTACGGCACTAAAAGACACTTGGACGGTATAATTTACTCACGAGTCTCTACATTGAAGGCACATTGTCGGTAGTGATTAATGGAATGGAAACGGCTCGAACAGAACTAGATGCTAATGAAGCTATTTGTACTGCATGCAAAATAATTATGATTGTTGGGTGCAGAAAGGTTAGTGGGGTCTTACAACGGCTACGATTAGTTTTAGGGAGATATATAAGAAGCAATTCGTAACATTGCCGGCATGTGTAAGAAGTAAATTATAAGGTGGGGTGCCCAAAAAATTTCTGATATTTAGGAAGGTTGAATGAAAAAATGTCAAAGATTTTGCATACTAGCATACTATTCGGTTGTTCTAAAATATAAACTGCATTTTGAAGGGCTTTTGCTTGGAAGAAATTTCTGGGACACCCCTTAAAAAGAGATTAAGCATAGCTAATCTCGTGCTCGTACGTTTTTCCCCTTAGGTCGTCGTCGTCCGGGAGCGCATGGTGGCGCAGGCCGCACAAACGCGGTCCGTAGCGCAGCATGACAATGATCACGCCCACGATGAACAGGGCGACGGCGGACACGGCGGGATAAAGAAAGTAAAGAGCCATTACTACTTAGATGTCGCTCTCGCGCTTCTGCAGCTCCACGTATTCCTCGCGCTGGCGTTGCTGGTGCAGGGTACGACCCTCTGGGCGTGGTGGACGCTGGTGCTGCTGCTGGTGGTGATGATGCGCCGAGTGCACGGGCTCTAAGTCGTCAACGCCAATGACAACGTCGTCGGGGAACACTTGCTGGTGGGTAGTGGGCTGAAAGAAACGAAAACTTAATTTCAGCATGTTTTTTGATTTAACAAATCGGCTTTCTGTCATCGGGAAGTAATCTAAGATACCTTTAAAATATTGATATTGGTATTTTATCATTTAATATTAACTTTTTTTGCAATTATTCTTCCCCAACCATTTTATGGTGTTGTTAGGAGAATAATTAAAAGAGATATTTTTAGATACGTAAACTGGATTCTAAATATGAAATTGTATGGATCATCTCTAAGGCGGTACAGATTTGTATTTGTATTTGTAATAGGATCAAACAATTGCCTTTATCAAAAGATTAAAGTGAGACCATATAAATGCCAAATTTTTTCGTATCTTCCTTGAAATTGATAGAAATTCTTTTTAAAGTCCTTAAATTACTCACATGGAAACGCTGAAAGTAGGAGGCGTCCTTCAGTTCAGTAAAGTCCAATGGCGGCTGGTTGTGGGGCGTGGCGGACCAAATGGAAACCAACCAGCGGTTACCCGTGTGCCTGTCCTGCCAGTACTTGCGGTGCTTGGAGCAGCAGCCCAGGATAATGTTTAGTATTATGATCGTGCCCAGGACAACCGTGCAGATGGCGATGGTCACATAAAACGGCGAGAAGTTGCCGTAGATGTGGCCGGTGAAGTAGGGATTGTTTTCGTACGCCTTGCGTTCCTCTTCGATTGTGGACATAGTCTTTTAGGGGTGTGGTACTTGAACAGCGTTCAATGCTCAAATGTCTGGAAGTAGGTGAGGAAAGAGTAACAATGAGAAAGCGGTTCAGGTTCAACCACCATGCTGCTTGCCACACTTGCACCCCGAAACCAATTGCCACCAATTCCAATTTGTCACATTGGGCGTGGCGTCACCAAAGTAAACTTGACCGGAGACTTGGATTTCCCTGCTTAGAGGTGGACTCCACTTACCATTTGCGCAGTTTTGGAGCTACTAAGATTGGCACAAGTCCCATTCAAGAGGTTTAACTATTTAAAGTCACAAAGTATATTAATTTCCAGCCACTTTGCAGCTAGGAAAACAACGCCCAAAGCCTGGCTCAGTGAGTTAGTGGTGGCACTTGTTGGTTGTGCCGCAGGGTTGCAAGCGATCGATAACTTTATATCGATCGCCATTGCATGTGCTACAAATAATGTGATGCATACTTTTGGGCATGCTTTATTTATTCAATAAAGATTTAAAAGAAATAAAAATTACGTTATTAATTGGCCTTTATTAAAAAAAAATAATTTTAAGCGTGAAAAAAAATAGGTGAGTTTTATATTCAAAGATATAACATACTACCAAAAAATCTCTGCGATATTTTCTGAATTCTTTTTAAATGTATAGAAATCAGAAATTGTATAACCACAGGATGTAAAATTTAAAAGAATGACTGTACCCAAGCGAATTAAACAATCCCACCCTAAAAAAAAGTCAAAACAAAATGTATCTATATTTTTGAAATTAACGCGGAAAGGAAAGAAATCAAATTTATTGCAAAAGATCGGGCATATTCAGACCCACCAAAGAAAACAAAATAAATGCCGCGTCTTCTCGCCGCTTGTAACATAAATCGCATTTGCTTATCAACTATTACAGGTTCCGAAGCAATCCTAACTCAAAAATAATCCAGCTATTCAATAGCCGTTTTCCCCGATCACTGGTCGTAGGTCAGGAAGTTATCCAACCCGGTGAATTGGCGCGCCAGGCATCGTCCATCGTCGGTGGGGGTGCTGAAGGCGATGCACTCCTTGGCGATCTCCTGACCTAGCACCGTGTGGCACTGGACGACCCGCAACAGCTTCCTAGCGATTCCGCAGCGCCGCTGCAGTGGAGAAACCCAGATTCGGGACACGCCGCAACTAAAGTAGGAGAAGGATTAGCTAAAGATATAACAAAAATGATCAAAGGGTTTCTCACCTGGCCGGGTAACTCTCCTCACTGAAATAATCCGTGCCGTCAACCTGGATGAATCGATGGGCCTGAGACAGGGGCTGCACCAGGCAGAAACCCACAATCTGCTGCTTCCGTACCGCCATGAAGGCCACAAAGATCTTCGGCACGATGTACGAGGAGTAGCCCAGCTCCTTGTCCACCACTCCGATAATATCCCGAAGTCTTTCGAGCCGGGCGGCCGGAGCGCGTTCGTTAATTCGTATGATGCGACCATCGCTAGCCCACTCCGGATAAACGGCCACAATGTCCTCGTCGATCCAACCCTTGAATCGCAGCACATGGATCGAGTTGTGGTACTCCCGGTGCAGCTGCTCCTCCTCCGGTTCGTGAACGGTGTACACCAATCCGCACTGCTGACACTGCCGGGCTCCAAAAGCCTTCTGACCAGCATCGATCTGGTACTGATTGGATCCCCCAGCTGCTGACAGCAATTTCATCGAAGTATCCGGCCGTCGACGCATCGATTTCTGGACCACGGGCTGCAGGCGCTGCGTAAATATGGGAAACAGCCTTGGCTGGACTTCATCTGTTGCTGGAGGATCCTGTGGTGGTGGAATGTCCAGCACTGGTTCCGGCTGCGCAGCCTCTTCGCTATTTACCACCATGTACAATTCGTCCACAATCCGATTGGCCTCCTCCTTGTAATTGTCAGGATTCGCTATAAAAATCTCAAAATTCTGCTCTGTACAAATGTTGTTGCTTATGAGGAACTCCAGTAAGATTTGCTGCTGCTCCACGATTTCAGGATCATTGGTTTGATATGGCAAACGATTTCGAAATTCAGCGAAGGGATCAATTTCTGCAATTGTCTCTTCCGGCGCATACTCAATTATATCCGGCAGAGGCTCCGTATCCATGGGTGTGTTTTCCGCCTCCATGGGGGTGATCCCCGTCAGCGGTTTCGATTCAATAATCTCGTCTATCACCGTGTCGTCCAAGTTCTTCAGAATCGCATCCACGGTGGCTTGCTCAGCTGAGAAAATCGTTGCAGACTTCACCCGCACTTGTCGTGGCTTTCGGCGTGGAGTTTGGACCAGGGCGATCTTGCCCTGGCTGACGCTGGCCCGGATGTTGTCCGTGATCCTTACCTCCATGCAAGTGCTGCTCCGTCGGCCCGATTTGAAGAACTTGCGCTTGCTGAGATCCGCTTGCTCGGCTGGCGGCGAATTGTGGACCGGCTCGTGTCGGATTATCGGTATGATGGGCTCCAATTCTATGACGGGATCGTCGATGAACACCTTCTCCTCATCTTCACTAAGGTCGGAAAAGTCGGCGGAAGTTTCTTGCCACATGTTCGCTGGCATATTGTTATTGTTGTTGGCATCGTCGGCTTCAATAACACTCAATGGTTTGGCCATCTTGATTGGATCTCTGGCACTGCGCAGGATCTGGTGCACTTCCTCAACCTTGGCGCGCTCCTCTCGTTTGGTGGTAATTAGATTCTTCAGCCGTTCGTTGCTTAGGGAGCTGAGAATGTTGTCCAAGTCAGTGTGCGGCAGTCGGGTTGACAGTCCGTGGGGCTTACGAATTTTGTGCCGGACTCCCTTATTGATACCCAGGACTGGGCGGGAGTTTGGCGAGATTTTTGTCGGTCGACGAAGAAAAGTGGTAGGTGTGTATCGCCTACCTTTTGACTTTGAAGCAGATGCTCCACTGTGGGAATAAAAGGCCAAGGTGGGAATGCTGCTCTTCAGCGACATCTTGCGCATCTTGCTTTGTGGGGATCCAGAATCGGACTCTGTTGAAGAAACAGCCAAGTTGGAAAAGGTATCCAGGCGCTCTCGCTTTATGGGCTTGCAATTGGCTGCTTCTTCATCAGGAGCGGGCACTTCAAGTGGAATACTACTGTTTTCTAGACTACTCGCTAGGTCTTCAACAATCTCTGAACTAGACAGTTCAACTGGGCATTTAGTTCGTTTAAGACTGTTCTCTAGATTCTCTGTTGAGGCCTTAACAATCGCCACTTCTTTGTCATTTAAAGTGGGCATTTTAACTGGGGATTTTGTTCTTCTGGTGCTGTTTCTTGGTTTCACTGTTGAGGTTTCACTAACTTCAATTTTAATAGGACTTTTTTGATTCCTATTACAGGTTTCCAAGGCCTCTGTTTTGGCTTTTACAATAGGTACTTTGCTATCTGCTTCTTTTATTGTTGTGTTTCTCTCCCGACGCTCCATTTTCGGTGCTCTGATCTTGCTGTAATCATTCCTCCTTGAGGCTTTACTTATTGGAGCTTCCTCGTCATCCGAATCGGATCCTGTGTTTGGAGATTTCCTGCGTTTAGAGCTGCTTTCCAGGCTAACCCTTTTGGGTTTGATGGTATGTACTTGGGCAGTGGTCTTTAAATTGAGACTGTGCCTTCCTCTTGGTGTGCCCACATCAGCTTTCGTATATTGTCGCTTCATTAACATATCAGCCACTTTGCTTAGTCTCTTTTGGAAAGTTTCTGGTGAAGACAAGTCTTCTTGATTCTTCTGCGCACTCGAGGTACGTGGACTGCGTCTGCAGCTGGTCTTGATTTCCTGCATGGGTGTGGCCTTGCCCCGTGGTGATGGAGATCCCATGGAGCAGGAGGTGGGCGAAGACATTGATGAGTCCGCTCGCTTGGCTCGCAGCTTAGGTGTACGGGGGCTGCTGTTGCGACTGTTGCTGCTACTGTTGCTATTCAGCCGCATGGTGGAGGTGAACAACTGGGGCAACTGCTCCGCCGTGGCAGCCGCGACGACCCCGCTGCGGGTTTTCTTGTTCTCCTTGTTGGTTTCCGGGCTGCTGTTGGCACTGCCACTCACTGCCTTAGTTCCCTCACCAAAGAGACTCCTCCGTTGCATATTGGCCGCCACATGAGGCTTCAGCGGTAAGATACCCAGACTGTCTACGTCCTCATCCTCATCGTCGTCGTTGATCTTTCGCAGCCTGGAGACCGGACTGCCGAACAGTTGCCGCTTGCGCTCAGAGAGGCGTGGGGTGGGCATGCGCGTGGACCGCGTGGAGCCTCCACTACCTGTCGGCGTCTCCATGATCGCTCGTAAATCTTTTATTTCGCATTAACTTTGTCCAAACTGAGACTCCTTCGCGCTTTTTTGTGGCTGCCCAGTGTTGGGGGAGCCCGAACCGATCGCAGGCGCTTGCCAACACTCTTCGGGGTACCAGTTGTTCGGCGATCGTAGAACGGTCACCCTAAATCGTTATGTTAACACTCAATATATTTTTTAACTATAAGCTTTTCTTGAAAAAGTAATATAATATAAAATGCATATTTATAATTAGTTCTACAAAAATGGATTTTCCTGTTTTTAAGATCATAATGGGAAACAACATGGAAAGTTAGCCATGACTTTTAATGGATCATATTTTTATTTTTTATATAAGCCCATGGCATAGTTTTGTTTAAATTATTTACACAAAAATATCTTGGGCTGCAGACCATACCTTATAAAACTAGTTTGTTGTTACCACTTCATAAAAATAAATAAGAAATATTTTACATAAATAATTTTAAATATTTTAACTTCCCAACGTTATGTTAACATTTTGGATTAGTTAACAGAATTAGTGTGACCCCTCCGCTTTAATTGGTATTATAGAAGACGACACCTGAGGTCACACTCTCCAGGCGCCACACGGTCATACTGCGACACCGGAGCCAACCGATTTGGAAAATTCTGCCGCAACACCTGGGAAATAAAAGTAAAAGGCTGAGCTGTGCGTTTTTATTTTAATTTGCAGCCCCCCCAGACCAGGTAAGTCCGCCCCCCATTATCCGTACCGCACTTGAAAGCCACGCCAACGAAAGCAACGAGAACCGTGAGAAAATGTGAACTCTAGCCGCCGCCATCTTTTTTTTGTGTATGCGTTAGGGCCCAGAATGCCAACGCCAATAAAGAAAAACAAGATAAAACGGAATTTATAGAGATTACTGGTAATCGCGCTCCTTGTCCTGCTGCCTGAATGTTCCCCATAATGCCCGTAATAGCTTAAACCAAACAAAAAACAAAAACACATTGCCCTGTCTTCTCTGTCTTCCCTTGAGGTATCGCGTTAAGTCCGCCGCCGTCGTCGCTCAACCGCGATACATACATACCATACATTTCCGACGCAGCCGCCGCCGCCGCGTAGATAGCCACTTTTCCGGGATTCCCCCACCCAGAGTGCTAGAAACGATATAACCGTGGACGACCACGCTGCGGAACCCGCTGCCGCCATGCCCGGAGCCGGCACGTTCAAGTTGTTCATCGGGAATCTCGACGAGAAGACGCAAGCCACCGAATTGCGGGCGCTCTTCGAGAAGTACGGTACCGTCGTCGAGTGCGACGTGGTGAAGAACTATGGCTTCGTCCACATGGAGACGGAGCAGCAGGGTCGCGATGCCATACAGAATCTGAACGGTTACACGCTGAACGAGTTCGCCATCAAGGTGGAGGCGGCCAAGAGCCGGCGGGCGCCCAATACACCGACCACGAAAATCTTCGTGGGAAATCTAACGGACAAGACGCGGGCGCCGGAGGTGCGGGAATTGTTTCAGAAATACGGCACCGTCGTCGAGTGCGACATTGTGCGCAACTATGGTTTCGTCCATCTGGACTGTGTCGGTGATGTGCAGGACGCCATCAAGGAGCTGAACGGTCGCGTTGTCGACGGCCAGCCGCTCAAGGTCCAAGTGTCGACCAGTCGGGTACGACCCAAGCCGGGCATGGGCGATCCGGAGCAGTGCTATCGGTGCGGAAGATCCGGGCATTGGTCGAAAGAGTGTCCGCGACTGTACGGCAGCGCCGGAGGCGGACGCGAGCCTCCCTCACCGCTCAGCGCCGGCGGCTACAGAGATCGCATGTACGGTCGTGACCCGTATCCGCCGCCACCACCGCCGCCGCCGTTCCTGCGTGACCGCATCATGGATGGCTTTAGGGTAAATTCAGCATCCATTTGCCCCCCCCGATCAAATCATCCATATTTCATTCAAGTCAAGTGCTTGTTGCGCAGCCACTAATGTAACTATGGTTTTCATTTTCGCAGGACTATGACTACTATGACCGCCGCTTTGAGGACTCACGCGATCTGTACGAGCGTCGCTATCAGACCTCGCGCATGCGCGACTTTCCGCCGCCGCCCATCTCGCGCCGCGAGCCCATGCCCCTGCCGCCGCCCCTGAGCGGCAGCCTGCGCTCCTGCAGCGTCTCGCGCGGATACGATACCATGTTCAGCCGCCGCTCGCCGCCTCCGCCGCGCAGCAGCAACGGAATGAGTCGCTACGGGTAGGTGCCACGTAGCTTTTTGTGAAAAACCATGACAAAGCATTTAAGTCTATTACCAAGCGTAAATATTTGATATTTAGACCCTACTTATAGTCTTCCCTCAAAATACAGAGTATCTGCTGTTGTCTTACTAAAGTCTTCATTTAAACAGGTTGCCAGTAAGGGCATAATTTATACACTTTTAGGGGCGTTGAATTAGTTTTAATTGCAAATTTGCAATCCTATTTCAAATTACAGTCGCCGGTTAACCTTTGACTATTTGAAAATTGGGCCCTAGAAGGTTCCATAAGCTTTTCTAGGTTTCACCTCTTGCCAAGTCAGTTTCTAATGTGTTTCTCTATCCTTTTACCCAGCTCGCCCACTCCTCACGGCTACGAGGACTTCAGTCGCGACGCATTTGATGAACGCATGATTTCGTCTCGCGGAATACGTGGTCCCTCGCCTCCGGGTCGCCGATACGCGCCCTACTGAGATGAGTTTTACTATCACGGCAGCAGCTGAGTGGCGGTTGCACTACCCATGCCCCTGCCCATGTCTATGTCCCTTCCCCTGGCGCACTCTCTGTATCACACACCCAGCAACCAAAGGAGGGCGGGTGGGGACTGCTGGCTGCTCTTCTGGTCGCCAGCGTCTTACTACCATCAACAACACCAACAGCACATGCTGATGCCGACGACATTTTCACAATTGTGGCTGCCGCCTTGGTAAACCACGCGTATTTTACTAAGCCTAAACTAACCATAACTCGTATACTTAAAAAAAGGAGATGGAAGTACTGTTCGGAGCATCCTCCTTGTATGCAATTCATGCCTAAAAGACTAGACAACGACGTGCTCCCCTCCCCACATAAATCCACAGAGATTCGAGTACCAATAAAAAGCATAAGCAGTCCAAAATATGCAAAAATAAACTTGTATTTTAAAGCTAGTTTAAGGGGCAGTATTGCAACGATGTGTTTAAAAACTATAATCGCTCTATCCGCTACGCGTGGGATAAGGAGTGGTGGCTGCCGTGGATGGGCTCTTCGGGTGAGTGTTCGTCCAGTTTGCCACCATTGTGCTTGTTTAGTTCTTGCAGTTCCACTGGTGTGGCCTTCTCGAAAGTGGGAGGGATTAGTAATCGACTGGGAAAGATAACGAAGTTTGATTAATTCTGGGGAACTCCCCAAAAGTGGTTATCTTGACTCACTTGCTGCACTGCAACCAAAACATCGAAATGATCATCATGAACGAGGTAATGCCAAAGGTCCAGACTGTGCCCAGCCGGGTGTAGATGGATCCGACGAAAAGAGGACCAAGGACACGGGACAGACAGCCTGATCCGGTCAGCAATCCCATCCAGACGCCTTGCGGTCGAGGTCCCAGAACCTTTGAGAATATCGTCTGGATGAGAGTTACCCCAATGGGATATCCCACCGAGGTAAGGGCAAATCCAATGATGAACTGAGTCAAAGTTAGAGCCGGCAGTTCGCCACACCACGGTTGTGTCGCAGACGGGCAACCCAAAAAGAGTGGATCGTCTTTGGTCAGATTCAAACTTTCATTGAAGGGCTGCGCCAGCTTGGGCGGATCCGGACCCCAGGGTACGAACAGCACGCGCCCAAGAAACATCAGCGAGAATCCGCCCCAGATGAGCACATAACGTTCGGCCAGGAGCTTGCACATCGGTCCAATTAAAACAAACGTGACCAGGGAGACAATGGCTGCGGTGGTCATCATGATGCCCATGTACCAGAGGGCCTCGTCGTCGGTCCAAGCAAACATATCCATGGTCAGGGATGTGCCCAATCTGAATGGCAAGAAAGAAACTTATTTGAGTTCCGGAACTGCATATTATCAAAACAACTCACGTCTCCAGCAGAACAAAGTTGAAAACCAGAACAAAGAAGGCGACGATCAAAGTCCAGGCGGAAAAGTAGTTGGGCTTGATGCCTTTCCAAGTCTCTCGTTCCGATGTGCCGCCCTGCATCACCATTACCTCGCGAGCAGCGATTTTGTGCTCCTAAAATGTAGTCCATATGTTAAATCAACTCTTTTCTCAACTGAGCTACTTTGTGCTATACCTCAAAAATCCCAGGAAGGAACATTATGAAGTTTCCAATGCTCATCAGCACATTGATCCATCCGGATGCCGTGTACATGTTGAAGTGCATCATACCCCCCAGCCAAACGTGCCCCTTATCCCCCAGCGGAGTGACGGCCGCCTGCAGAGTTGGACCAATGATGAAGCCCAGGACCTGAGCCAGCGACACCATCGAAACGGCATGAGTGCGTTCGCTGATTCGCGTGGCGGCCGACAAGTATGACCGGCACAGGGCAATGTTGGCCGAGCTTACGCCGATGAGGAATCGCGAGGAGAGCATCCAGTACTTGACATTATCCGGACGCAGTTCCAGCGAGGAGTATATTCCACTGGCCAAGGTGAACAGAGCCAGCGAAATGAGCAGAGGAAGGCGAATCTTGCCCAGCTTGTTGCCCCACCAGCCGAAGATGGGGCTGAAGATCATCTGTCCTAGCGGATTGGCGGCCACAATGAGACCCATGAACTCCTTGCCCGCTGTGGGATCTAGCTGAAGAGAAATTGGCTTGAAAAACAGGGGAATCACATGGCTGTGGTCAAACCCACCTTGTTGAGGTAGGGCCAAATGCCTGTGAGAATGATACTGAAGCCCAGCGCCATCAGGAACATGGTGAAATAGATGATACGGACGGAAAGCCAGCGCTGTTTATATTTCTCGAGCGTCTCCAGGCCATCGTCCACGTCCTCCGGCAGTCTTTTGGTTTCAAAGCGAGCGGAAACTCGGCGGGCAAACTCCATGATTAGTTTGCTTTTTTGTGTGTTGGTGGGTAGATTAGAGTGTAATGGAAGTCTGTTGGGTTTTACCGCCACTGAGTCATTCTGTATCTGTGTTCGAATAAGATTTTTGGACTTTTGTAAGAGAAAGTGTCAGTTTTAGACATTAGGTGCTCTTTGTTTCAAGCAAGCTTTAAAATTTAATTTAACACATGAGTTATGCGGTTCTTAATTTGTTTTTAAACTTAAACGAAATTAAATAAATACTTCAATTATCTAAAGAAAATGTTAAGAAGGATACATTTAACAAACTTTCTTCGGTTAACGAATAGTTTAGTTTTGAAGGTTGGAATGTTTAATAACTTTCACTTTATTTTCAAACTCTTATTATTATGGTATGAAAATTTCAACAATTTTCAAATGTTTGATTATTCTTCATGAGTAATCTTTTTTGTAGGGTATTGTCCGAATCGATTCCTAAGAAACCTTGAATATTAAGTGGATTATCTGCCAGCCGTCGCGTTATTATCCTCCGAAATACCGAAGATATGGGAAACAGTTGGCTAAACTTATCACAGTAATTGCTGAAGATAAAGGCAATCGGTGCCCAAATGGCTTTCCGTTGCCATGTGAGAGTGTTTGTGTGCTTTTAGTAAAAGTCACTATCACTCTGAGTTCGCCTTTGTTTTTGTTTATATGGCTTGATAAGGTGGAGCAGAACCCGTCAGTTTATTACATTTAATTTATCAGAAAGACAGAGAGGGGCGTAGAGCACTTGAATGTGGTAAATGTAAATGTAACCACTTAATGTGGTAATATGTACCAAACAAATTTAAACTAAACTAAGCCATTAAAACTCAAGTGTTTTCGATAATGCAACAAGTTCAGTGATTAGCCATACCAATCAGTACAGACTTTTTTACTTCCTAGTTTCTCAATGGAAAGTCACGGCTTCGTAAATCAATTTCAGATTGAATATGTTTCCAATTGATGCACTAGGTTGTTGTTTGTGGAGAGCCAGATTCTCGTTCTGGTTCTCCAAACACGCATACACACATCTCATGAATACTAGATATAAGGTAGCGACCGTTGATCTCTGGCTGCCTTGTTTCTGCTCGTTTGAAAACCCACTTTGTGTTGGCACTCTTCTCTTTGATTTCTAATTAGTTTGGTTTTTGAATAATTATTTGGCCGGCGCACGACAATTTACTTATTTGTTTTATTTTGCCATACTCTTTGAAAAACTTGTATGCAAGTAAAACAAAGATATATTCTGTTTTTTTTATTGGCTCTAGGTTGTTGTTACTCTCACACTCTCTCGGTTTTTGTAATATTTAACCACTCACAGCACATAAAAACGCATTTTCTCTGGTTCCTCCGCTCCCGATGGCTATATGTAATATCTGTCTACGCAGTTCGGTGAGAAGAAAAAGTAACCCCCCACCGCGGATCCTGTCTTTTTACTTTTCAATCCCTTTGTGGGGCTTCGAGCGGGTAATGCACCTTTTAACCAATTGGGTTCACCTCTCGCAACTACCTGTTGCAGCGGAGCAGAGCAAAAACATCCACTTTTGTAGAACGGTCGCGGCAGAATGCGACGCTTGTTGCCAACAAATCGGCTGAAACCCAGAGCGGAAGCTAAAGAGAGAGAACCTCATGAAAGACCGCGCTCGAAAGTATGTTACTTATGTATTTTCAAATTTGTCGGATACCGGCTGTAACAGTTTTGTACTCGACTATGAGTCGAAACATCAAGATCCAGATAATAATTTAGTTACCGTTACCAATGGATCGCACTGTACATATTGGCATATTATCATCCCATATTTCCCCCGTATTATGATTTTAAGACAATACGGTCATCGTCCTAATAAAAGTATACGAAATCGTACTGGAATTTAACCAACGTTTGTCTCACCAACATATTTTATCTACACAAGTTAAAACTATCCAATTATATCCTATTATATTGTCTTTGGTAGAACTAAGTTATTGTGGTGAATTCATACCTCCGATTATAATAAAACTATAAAGGTCCAGAAGTTTGGACTAACATTTTTTTCATAAAACGGCTGATAACTATATCCTCATTGTATTAAAGTTCAAACTTCAAAATTCCTTTGGATAGCTGCTACCGCAGAACATTACAAATTGCAAATTTATTTTATGAGTGCCCAAAATTCTTAAAAATATACAACAAAATATGAGAGTAATAATTGGACATATTAAATTGGATTAGGAATTAGTTGAGGGAGTACCTCTACATATTGCCCCTGGCCTGCTGCAATCGCATGAGTCGCCGCTGTCTTAACCAGGGCAGCAGGAGACCCCCTCGCTGGACAGAAAGTTGAGCTCGAGGTGCGGGTTCCATTGGAGCAGCAAGAGTCACAGCTTCCGGAATGATCTCATTGCGCCGCATATCTCGGAAAGTTGAACCTGGCCTCCGGGGCACACGCTCCTCATCTTCTCTCTCATCCTTTTCCTGGAGCAATGCCTCGTTCCTAATGTTCAGGCTAAAGACATCCCCACTGCGGGGATCGGACGAAAGATGGTTTACTGTATCCTGGAGCACCCTGGGAATCCGCTCCACCACCTGTAGGGCATCGCGGAGGGGACGAATCTCTCGCTCCTGTTCCCTGCGCATCTGCTCTTTTGGGGCTTTGCTCTTGGTAATCTTACGGGAGAACGGACTCTTCTTGTTTTTCCGAGAGAGTTGGTCCTTCTTCAGGGGAGCGGGACGAGTCAGACGTGGAGCAGCATGCTCCAGGAACCACGGTTCCCGACGGGCCGGCTCCTCCAGAGCAGTCTGGCGCTTAAAAGGCGATGGCTTGGACTCCCGCAGCTGCTTTTGGGCCCTGGTGCCTAAGGGCGAGGGACGCACCAAAGAGCCGGCGAAGTCATTGAACCACTCCAGGTGATCGACGGACCTCTTGTGCCTTGTCACCTCCTTCTCCGAAGCCTTGGAAACAGTATCCAGGGCATTGGCGGTGGACTGATTGGTAGACTTCTTGGAGGGCTTGTAGATGGTTATGTTAGAGCGACGGTTTCGAGGAGCCTGACCCGAAGCGGAGGCACTCCTGGCCACTAGATCCCGCTTCTGCTCGAACTGCTGGGCGTTGCGCACGAAACGATTGCTACTTGGCCCCTGGATGACTATTTCAAAGGGCAGATTCAGCGTTTTGGCATTCATCTGCATGGTGCGAATGCACTCAGTGTCGGAGTTGTCATCGTTGCACTCGCAAAGGCACTCCTCCCCGCAGTAGAAACCCAAACAGCCGCAGTGCTCGCACAGAGCCTTGCAATTCTTCTCGAGCTTCGACTCCGTAAGGGGATTCACCCTGGGCGTCGCCTTCGTGGTGGTGGCCAACGTCGATGGGGATTTGGTGGTGGTGGTGGGAACAGCACTCGCCTGCAGATGGATGACCGCTAGAAGAAGTATCACAGTATAGCCAAAGAGGCCGCTCTTCCGTATATTTCTGCTCATCATTGTGGGTGCTCCAGTTCAAACTGTCTGGGCAATTGCGATGCACAACCGATTTTATAACGCTGACCAGGTGAAATCGTAGATGTTCGTGACTGACAGTTGATTCTAGATTTCAGTTCTCCGGAATTTATGCTGACTTCGTGTGATCTTGAGACATTTCCCAACTGGGTTCTCCAATTGGGTACTACATATGTGCCGAATTTTTTTTGGCACACTTTGGCGTGCCAAGGTCGAATTCCCGCACTTGAACTTGGCCCAGAACACACAAATCTTTGTTTACAGAGTTTATTACAAAAGAAACCAAATAACAAGAAGCCAGCGAAGTCATTAGCGGCGCTTGCCCTTTCCCTTCTTGCCGCCGCCGCCACCACCGCCGGATCCGGAGGCACTAGACTGTGGCTGCGACTGTTGGTGGTACGACTCGCCGGGTTTGTTCTGGCGCGTCTTCAGCAGCGGGATTTTGCTGGCGATGTGCAGCATTATGGACTCCCGGGAGGGGAAGTCGTTGTTGAAGAGCGTGCCATCGGCATTTCGCAGCTGGACGCGCACACGGCCACGGACCTGGAGCTCGCTGCTCTTCTCGCGGCAGTACTTCATGTTCTCCATGAGGAACTGCAGGTTGGACACGGACAGCACGTCGCGGATCTCTATGTAGGTGGGGTTGTCCACGCAGTTCTCCTTGGGCAGCCGGCGGCCCTCCTGGCGAGTCCGTTTGCTGTTGATGTAGGCGGGATAAATGCAGATCCACCTGTGACGACAATAACAATAGGGAAACGTGAGGGCGGACTTTGTTTTGTTAGATTTTGTCTAGTTTCTACCGCTCCATCTCGTTGTGCTTTATGCTCGGATTCCAGTTTTGTCTCATGGGTGCTGCCGCTGCCATTTTAGCTGGATTTTAGTTAATAGTCTATTAGAATTCAAATAAATTTACAAAAAAGTAAGCGAGAAAGCTATTTTCCACGCAGGCAAAATAGGGATGGCAATGGAGAAAAACTAATAGTCGATATCGGTAGAGAAATCGAATAATTGGATGTGGCGTTTTCTGGCTTTTTTTATAAAAAACTAAAGGAAAATAAAAATATAAAATGTATTAATTTTAAAAATCAACTCATTAACATATTAAAGTCAAATCTTTTGTTTTTATAACCTTAAATTATAAAATTACATTCCAATTTAAATCAATTTGTTAAAAGAAAACCAACGAAAGTCAAGTCATAAAATGGAGTTCAAAAAAACAAAGCATGGAATGGTCAAATATGTATTGCATGTTCGATTCCGCTCCTATAAGCTTACAATTTTGATAGAACATTTGTAAAATAAATCTTTTGCAACTGAACGTTTTGGTGGGAACAGATTTCTATAGCAGGCCGAAATAACATTATTTTTGGTCATTTCCCGCCAACTCGACTTAGCTAGATTTCTCATCCCTGGTGGAATCGATACTTTGACAAAAAGCACCCTGTCTATCGATGTCGATATCAATTCGAGCGCATCTCCAATACGCAGACCGCGGAAGAACTTCAATAACAGTCTGTTTGGGGCTTTCCAGTTGGAGCGACGACGAGCGGCCCACGAACAATTCTAGTCACGCGTGTCGAGCGGAGCCCAGCGGTAAACAAAAAGCACGCCCTACTTCGCACACCCCCCGCAATCAAAACAACAAAAGCACACACGCAAGGCCACGGCGGAGCGACAGCAACAACAACAACAACGATAACAATGGAGGAGCTGAACAGCATTTTGCAAAAGACCAAAGATAAATCAACGCAGAAGGAACAGGATGAGGTACTTATCCCACGGCCTAATCCTTCCGGACCCCCGAACTTTGACATTTGAAAGTGGCACCCCCGAAATACACTAACTAACCAGTTCTCTCGACCTTCTTTTCGTCTCCTTCTTCCCGTTCCACCCACAACAACCCCACTCCATTTTTGGGGTTTATTTACATGTGGCCCACGCACATGACGACGACCGATGGCTAAACCTTATCCAGATTCTGCTGCAGCCCTTCACATACATACAACAGATTCCTGGCAAACAATTCCGCTCCGAGTTGGCCTTGGCCTTCAATCACTGGTTGCTCATACCGGAGGAAAAGTTGGCGCAGATCGGGGACATTGTGCAGATGCTGCACAATTCCAGTTTGCTGTGAGTATATCATTTATATATAGTATACAACTGCGGTCAGATTAATAGCCCTAATGTGCCTGCCAATGTATCAGCATGTATTTTACAAACATTGTCGATTTTCAACTGTTTCTTTGTGTACTAAGAAATAGGGGACTTAAAATAGATATATATGTTTTTGTGAAATGTACTTTTAATTCAAGTAACAATCTAATAGTTACAAGAAACAAGATTGTAATACTCAGTCGAAAGCTAGAAAAAAATTTCCCGGTTCACTAAACAGTCTAAAAATTGTAACTACTGTACTGTAACTGTAAGTCACTTAGTCAACTGTTTGTTTTCTAAATTGGAATTGTACTTAAAAATATCTCTTTTTTCAAACCTACTAAACTAAAAATGTCATTAAGAAACCATACAAAATCGCAGTACTAATTTTATGACCGTACTTAAATACCTGTCGATATTGCACGTCAACTAACCATGTAGCGCGTTTTAATTTTAAGTTTTGACCCTTGCCTTCCTTCGTTTTTCTCGATTTTCTGCTCTGTATTGTTTGGCTTTGTTTACCTCTTGCTTGTACCCCTAAAAACCCCACCCGTTTGACCCCTCGCCCTCTTTTAACCCCTTCCTCCAGCATGCTTAATCTTTCTTCACACTTGCACAGCCTGTATTTGTATACATTTAGTTTATTTGCTTTTGTTCAGATGGATTCCAGTTAAATGTCTAATCGAGTGTGAAGTTCTTAGAGGAAGTGATGAAGGGAGCCTCTTCTTACCCGAAAAATACGTACCTATATCTAGAAATGCCTGCCATATGCTCGCACGAGCAGTTCTTATCATCATCGGGAGTTCATTTCCATATCGCGCATATGTTTCAAAAAACTTTTGTATTATCATTTGGTCGGTGACTCACTGCTATCCCCCAAATTAGAATTGACTATATTGAGTAATGTTCTCGCACGTTTGTCGGTTATTTGAACAGAGCGCTGTGCGCTGGCCTCAAATCAATTTCCAAATTTCATCATGAGCCCGCAGGTTTTTCTGTTTACAATTGAATTTCTTTGCATTTCATTGTCGAATCCGAAATTGCATAAATTATTTAGATTTTTCTCCAGGCGCCCAGGGGCTAAAATGCGAGAGAAGAGATGAAAGAGCTGGCCTGACAACGAAATGCCGCAATTAAACTTTGAACTCGACCAATTGAAGTGTCTGTGGCTTTTCAATTAAAGACCGTAAACTGAGTTGAAGTGGCCAGGGTTTTTCGCCTATCTTCGAGCAGCAGCTAAGAAAGTATCCATGTCGTTTTCGGGCTAATCCTGTCGTGCCTCCGGCCACCTGTCGCCTCCCATTCAAAGGCAAACACCCAGAAATGGCCTTAATTCTGCTTAAAATCCCCAGCATTGTTCCTTGGCAGCATTCTCATTCTCAGTTTCATTCCCCCAAGTGGCCGCCTGTATGTGTTCTTGGTGTTTTTTCCTTTTTAGTAATGCATTTTCATATTGGCAAAAACTTAGTTTTACAACGATGCCAGCAGTTACAGCAGTCAGTGCCCAAGTACCCCGACCCTCGTCCGTCCGTCATTCATGCACTTATGCCCATTGTCAGTTAGTCAGGCCGTCGCCAGTCGACAGGCATTGTCACAACTCTTGCCACGCAGCACGCCCACTATTCTCCTCATTTTCCCCCCATCACCATCCAGCCTCCTGTACCCACCATCCTTTCCATATCCCAGCCCCTTTGTGCGTTGTCGCTTCAACGCCCACGCCTTCATGCCATACCACGCCATACCATCCAATCCCGTCCCGTCCCATCCCATCCCATCCCATCCATATTCCCTACCAATGGCTTTGCCAGCTTTGGCGAAGCGCAAACATTTTTTAATTACGCAAATGTTGAGCTGCCCAGCTCGTTTTACCCGCCGGGCACCATAGTTATTGAAGCGATGGCGGCCTTAAAGCGAGGCTTAAATTTACACATCTATTATGGGGCCACCGTATGTTCATAAATATGTATGTTTAGCCTGACAGGAGGGGGGAACAACACCTATTGGGGGAGTGGGTGGTGGACACGTGACGAGCTCTCCTCACTTGGTACACGCTCGAGTTGTGAAATTCTATTTAAAAACCCATACTTTCTTAACCAGTACGTGTTCATGGCATTAATGGATATGAAAGAGCATCTGCTGATAAGTAAATTATCGTATTTCGAGGAGGAACAAAATGCCAACTGTATAAGCCGTATAAAATATTTCATTTAATTATAATTCCACAACCTGTAATTTTATCGTTGAGAATTTACCCGAGTTATATGATATTTTTTATCGAAAAATTAAACAATTAAATATTATAAAAAAATATATTTTTAACATCTACACATAATAACCACAAATACAATTTTTAGTGCACATTTTGTGATCTTAAGATCAAAATTCTTTTAGAGATTTGACTAAAAAAGTTTAAAATGTAGTTAATTTTAAGGTTCAATAGACGAAACTGCCTTGTACACAATTAATCAACTCACGGCTATTATAAACATGTGTGTTCTTGATACTAACTTACAGCATTGATGATATTGAAGACAATTCGATCCTTCGCAGAGGTGTGCCAGTGGCGCATTCCATATACGGCGTGGCCAGCACCATAAATGCGGCCAACTATGCATTGTTCCTGGCGCTGGAGAAAGTGCAGCAGCTGGAGCACCCGGAGGTACGAACGAAACCCGAGCTTCGATTGGATTGGAATATCAAGTAATCCGCGTTTCTTGCAGGCCACCAAGGTGTACACGGAACAGCTGCTGGAGCTGCACCGTGGACAGGGCATGGAGATCTACTGGCGCGACAGCTTCACATGTCCCTCGGAGGCCGATTACAAGCTGATGACTGTGCGCAAGACTGGCGGCCTCTTTATGCTGGCCATCCGCCTGATGCAGTTGTTCAGCTCCAACAAAGAGGACTACTCCAAGCTGACGGCTATTTTGGGCCTTTACTTCCAGATACGCGACGATTACTGCAATCTGAGTCTGAAGGAGGTGAGTGGATGGGTGGGGTGATGTATGCAAAAATCAGTTAATAATGAATGATATTTATCTGTGCAGTACACGGAGAACAAGAGCTTTGCCGAGGATTTGACAGAGGGCAAGTTCGGCTTCCCAGTAATCCATGCGGTTCGCACCCAGAAGCAGGATAAACAGGTTTTACGTAAGTCCACCGTCTTGACCTCACCCAAAGGCTTTCCACTCATCAAGCCGGGGGCTTATGCTTATATCCACAGACATATTACGCCAGCGCACGCACGACATTGAGGTCAAGAAGTACTGCATCACCTTGCTGGAAAAGCTGGGCAGCTTTCAGTACACACGCAAGGTTCTGGAGACACTCGACGCGGAGGCGCGGGCGGAGGTTAGTTTGTTCCTTGGAAGGCACTTTAGATACTTACAAATAGCCATAAAATATAACAAAAGGGCCGTTTTCTCGTTAGCATGTTAAATAATGGTAGGCTTATACCTAGCAAGCATATCAAAAAATGAGTGTTTAAAAAGAAAATTGCTTAAAATCAAGTGGAAAAATTCCACAAAACCTGAATTACTAAAAATTTTAGCTGATTAACCGATTATCAGTACAATCATTAATTCTGAATACTACACTTTAAAAATCACACCTACGTTTCCATTTCGGTTCCAATTTAATTTTGAAGAACATCAGAACTAGTTTTTAAATTGGACCTGGTTTAACTACAGTTTAATAAAATAATTTAGTGTTTGCACGAGTTTAGTTTTCGGAATAACCCTACCAGTTCCTACTAAAAATACATATTCTATCACTCCCAGTTGCTTATTCTGAACCTATAATCTCTCATCCCATATTTTATGATGGGATGAGTTTAGTTTTCGTAATGATCCTACCAGTCCCAAACAAAAAGACTTTCATTCCCAACTAATAATCTCTTATCCCACACAGGTGACTCGTCTGGGTTGCAATCCCTATATGGACCGCCTCTTCAACAAGCTTCTGTCGTGGAAGACGAGCGATAGCGCCAGCATCACGCAGTCGAACCAGATCAATCACAACAACGTCTCGCGCGGCAGCCCCAACCAGAACACGCTCAATTGCAATTAGCAGCCAAAGAGGCAAAAGAGGGAGCAGTCGTGAATTGCGAACGGCAGAGCCTCTTTTGCCGCCAATCCGAGACAGCAGCAGGCCAGCAGAGAGCCCACGCCCGCCTGCCTCAGTGCGCCCCTGTTGCGTTTCCTGCAGAAGCTGAAGATATTCTGAGATTTAGAGATTTATGTTCCCCTTGGCCAACCGGAAAACCCACAGAGAACCCTTTACTTTTAACCAAAACTAGAGCGATGAGAAGATGAATGGATGGAAATGGATTGTAATGGAATGAAAAAAAAGAGGAAAGCACAGGGATGGAAAACAAAACCAACAGCAGCCTTACAGAAAATTGTTAAGCCAAAAGTAAATTGATATAAGCCAAGCTTATCAGTGAGCTAGCGAAGAGCCATAGCACAGCTTTCCAAGAATTTGTTTTTGTTTAATTTTAATTTAGTTTCGGTTTAAAGTAACTTAGATAGTTATGGGGCCACGACGGCAGTCGGCGGCTCGATTAGTTTCCTTCCTTTTGCCCAGCGAATGGGGTCACGCAAAAATCTCGCAGAGCATTAACTTAATTATAGGATATGCAATTTTTTAGCTCTTGTATTTCTAAGTGTATTTCGTATTCATAACTCGATTCTGCAAGCAATTTTTCGATTTCTAAGTGTCATTTTTAAATCTAACTCACTCGGAACTCAATGTGCACTTCCTTTATCGACGTTGTTCCACTTTTAATTGTTATACAAAGGCAATTCGTATACATATATGTACTATTAACGACAAATTGTTAACGTTTTATGCAACAACTACAAAACCAACACAAAGGAAAACCACTATATATTGAAATAATGATAATGATGCACTGCACAGCAGATTTTTGCACATTGCACCACCTAAAAAGTATATACATATATTATATATAAATATATATATTTTTATTGTAGTTATACACTTGAAAAAAAAACAAAAACCAAACGGCAAGAGAAACCACATAAAGAAAACAAGAGGAGTAACCAGATTGCTGAAGAGAAAATGAAAACAAATTGTAAACTATGCAAACATTTTATGGTAGGAACGACAACTAATAGCCGAGAATTTACAGTGCACGCCCAGATGCAGCTAAACGCAAGCGCACCTAACATTTTGCCCATATACCACTAATGAAAACATTGAAATATATGTATATGTATTTAAATAAATATTTATGCCAAGTTGTCAACTAAAAGATACGTGTTGGGGTTCATTAAGCCATTGGATATCTTAACTACATTTTACAAAAACATCAAAACAATAGTTCAGGATAGGTTAATGAACAAAAGCCAAACCATTTCGGGACAAATATCCAAGCTATTAAAGCTTATATTTATAGAAAACAATATAACGTCGAATTCGTTATGGTATTCTTGGTATGTACATAGCTTAGCCCTAATTACTTATTTATACTTTTTGTTTTTCAGGAGACTAAGAATCCTGCTCTATCATATCCATCAGCTGGAGGAACTCCTGTGAAGCGCCATCAACTCCGTTCTCCTGATTCCCGTAATCTTCATATTCATCGTCCTCCTAAATGGGAAAAAATGTGTTACTCATGGCATAGGTGGTTATTTCCGATTTTAGACCTACCTCGAAACCAAAGCAATTGCTGGCATTAATATTGGAGGTTCCGCTGGGTTCGCGCTTGACAACTACTTCGCCTTCGCCATTAACCAGCTCCACGACCATTACCCCGCCGTCATCACCTTGAAGTTCCACGGTGAAGTCCGAGTTCTCTGGCTCCTCCTTGATGCGGAACGTTTTAGAGCGGAGGCGTCGATTTATAATCGTGGGCTTATTGTCAGAGCCTGCCAGCCTGGCCTGCTTGTTGATAATGACAGGTGCAGGCTGTGTGGTCTTGCGGATGAAATTATTGGGTATGATAACTTCGGTATCTTCATCATCCGTGTTCTCTGGTTCGATTTCAGCCAGGTCATAGCTCTCCGGGTTGTCCTCCTCGCCGCTCTCTTCATCGGCCATATCTATGAATTTATCCTTGATCACCGTGGTCACAGTGCCATCTTTCTGCAGGCGCACATTTCTACCCATCTTCAGTCGGCGCTGCTTCTCACGAGCCTTGGCCGAATCGTCGTGCATCTCCATGTGCCGCATAAGGTTACCCTTGTGGGTGAACTCCCGCGCACAGGTCGGACACTGGTGCTGCTTGGCGCGCGGCTGAGGCGGTTGATACTTCTCGTTGTGCATGAGATTCATGTGGCGGCGCAGCAGCTGGCGCTGGCGGAAGGTCTGCGGACACTGCTCGCATGTAAACGGCTTCTCGTCCAGGTGGATGAGCATGTGCGAGGCCAAATGGCGCTGAGTCACCGAAGCGTAGCTGCACAGCTTGCACCTGTAGCACTTCTCGCCGTCGTGCGACTTCACGTGAAGCTTATACTGGTAGCGATCTGGCAACTGCTGGCCGCAACGCCGGCAAGTGATCGGCAGATCGCCGGCGGTGTGCATGTGTTTGACGTGAATGCGCAGGTCAGCCTTTCGGCCGCATGTCGTCGGACAGAGATTGCACTGATAGACCGGCTTGTCCACCACGCTATGGATGAGCTTGTGGGCCTTCAGCGAGTTGGACTGCGTGAATCGCGACTGGCAGATGTCGCATTGGTACTTCTTCTCGCCCGTGTGGATCACCATGTGCCGCTTCAGCTTGAACATGTCCTGCGAGGCGTAGGTGCAGTGCGGGCACTGATACGGCCTCTCGCCCGTATGGCAGGTCATGTGGCGACGCAGCTTGGTCAGCTCCACGCTGGCGTAGCTGCACTCCGTGCACTTGTGCGGCTTCTCCTTGGTGTGCTTGTAGCGCGTGTGCCGGATCAGCTCGCCGCTTGTGGTAAAGGCGCTATCGCAGGACTTGCACTTGTGCGGCTTCTTGCCCAAGTGCGTGTTCACGTGGTTTTGCAGTCCCACGTTCGATCGGAAGGATCTCTCGCAGATGGAACACTTATAGGCCTGTTCGGCTTCATGACTCCGAAGGTGTCGCGTCACTAAAAACTTTTTGTTCGCCGCGTACGGACAGTGGGGGCATAAGTACTTTGGTCCCGAGTCATTTGAAGACGGCTTCGGATTCGGCAATACCTCCAAGGCGTTGAACACATAGTCCTTCTTGCTATTAGCCGCCTCCACTTCTGCTGTTTCCTCGAACTCGTAGACCTCGTTCTCGGTTGCTTCCAGTGCCGAGGAGGCTGCCTCAATGTCGGCACTGTCCACTGCATAGTCCGCCAAATCGTTGACCACTGCATTGATGTCGGGCTCATCCACCAGTTCCTCGATCTCTCGCTCCAGATCGAGGGGTTCGGGTTTCGGTGTGATCGGGTTCTTCCTCGGCCTACCCCTGGTGGCGGGTACTTTTGGAGCTGGTGCCGGTGGAGGAGGCAGCTCGATCTGCTTCGACTTGGTCGCCGCTACCTGGGCAGGACGAATGGTATTCTCCTTGGGCGCTGGTGGTGCCTTCGATGTGGCGGCTTTTGGTGGCGATTTGGCCGGACGCAGATTGATGGCTGAGGAGAAGAATCAGGTAAGTGATGAGATTAACACTTGTATATATCAAAGGATACCCACATTTATTGGTAGCTTTGCTGACCACCGATCGGACGGGTCTACCGGGCTTGACAGCCGCCTGTTTAAGCTTCTTCTGCAGCTCCTTTTGTTTCCTGGGCGTCGTCTTGATGTAGCAGTTGCCCTCGTCATCTATGAAGTACTTGTCGTCGTCGTCGTCCTCCTCTTCCTCCTCCTCCTCCTCAGCAGCGACCTCCTCTTCTGCCTGATGCTCCTCTTGGTTGGACCCAGCTGCCTCCTCGTCATCGTGCTCATCCAAATCACCATCCTCGGCACTGATGGCCTTCAGAATTGTGTCCACCACCTTGTCATCGCTGCTGCCCTCGGTTTCCTTGTGAATATCGTTGAGGAAGGACTGCAGATCCTCGGGGTCCTCGTTCTTGGCCTTCCTTTTGGGCATTCCTGAGCACAAATCAGAGTTCAGTGGTGGCGACCCACAGCGGATGGCAGGGAGCCCCAAAGGGGGCGCCTATCGATTTCTCGCAGCGACCAATTAAGGCTCCCCTTTTATTAATCACTTACCGGCACTTGATTACCAACAAAACGGAAGTCAAAAAATAATGCTGAGTGTGGTTATTCTTGTTTATTTTGCGTTTTTATTCCCGTTCAATTGCAACAGCTGCCCATTTCTAATAAAAGATGGCGACATATAGCATCAGGAGCGCCACTTATCGATATATCGATACGTTTAGTAACTGTCATCCCTACGTAAACAATTACTACGTTTATGGGGCAGGCACTACGTGGAAAATCTTGATCCCTTTAATGTCAAATGTAATGTAATGTTAACAATATGTTGTTGCCGGGATCAGAACATTATTTTGCAGGATATTTTAGATCACTATTTGCTTTTTTGTATGTTTTTCATACCAGTGGGCAGTTATATATATGCAATTCAAAAATATTTTAGTATATACGTCCTCCCCATTATTTATTTTAATGATTTTATTTTAAATAAAAAAAGGATACTTCTTTGGCAAATTATTGCTTTTATTTTAATTTTGTCAATTTGTGCTCTTTTTTAAAAAAATTGTGTCTACATAGTTTGTGCTCGTATTTGGTTAAATTCAAATTTAAAATATAAAAGGGTTATAAAAATTATGTTTATTACATATATGTAACATATCCACAGCAACAAAAGGCTTGTGCATTTCTTTTGTGTTTCAACAAGGCACCGATCATCACATTTTAATGGCTTTTAAATCCCAATTTTAAATGAGGGATTTTTGTACATAATGTGCATATGTACTTGTACGTTTACAAGGGACAAATGCTGAAGTAGCCAACACAAGTGGGGCACTTTTTGAGGAGTCCGGTGTACGAGTTAGGGTTGAGGGACAGGAAGTACAGCTTGACCGCTCGAATGATATCTCCAGTGTGTTCCTCCACCACTCTGCAAGGCATGTTCCGGTAGTGTATCATCACCTGCTGCAGGATGCGGAAGAGCACAGACTCCGTCGATATGAAGAACTTCAGCACCACGTTTAGATCCTCTAGCATGGTGTCCATGAAGGTCCGTGTCAGCTTCATGACAAAATCAAAGACAGCCGGTTCTAGATTATCGGCCATGCCGTTGATAAGGTTCTCAAAACTCTCGGCATTGATTACGTGATCAAAGATGATTTGGCCGTACTTCTCCAGCGCAAAAGTAACGCCACCAACAACCACGGAGCTCAGCTGCAAGGTGAACACACCGGCAGCATAAGTACTGGGTTCATGACGTGGCTTTGACGTGGGCAGCGGTCCAATTAGTCGGGAAGCCTGATTTGGGCCGCCCAGTTGCAGCCGTCCAGATTCCGCATGGCTAGCAGGAATCTGCTGAGTAACTTGTCCCAGGACGTTCGCTCCCTGATTATGCTGCACACTGGCCCGCAAGTCAGCCGCTGTCGTCTGCACCTCGCCATTCAGCAGGATTCCTTGTCCATCGGGCGCAAAAGAGTATCGCGCGCCCTCTTGGTTTAAGTTCTGATTGATTTTGTAAAGATCGTTGAACTGCTGACGCGATGGCATCTCGTTCACGTTTCGAATAATATCCAGCTTGCCGCGAGTGGTGCCCCGCAGTCGAACGGTCTCCTTGGACATCTTGTCGAAGGAGCGTCTGCAAAGATAGGGTCATTAGAAAGGAATAGATTTAGATTTATATTCAAGATATAATCGTTTAACAAGCTAGCCAATGCTTAAACCTTATCTAATCTAAACTTATTTGTTGATATGTATTCTTATCATATTGACAACTATTTACCTCTGTCGATTGCTAAGAGTATCGCGATAGCCGGCTATATTTTTGTTGGCCGTGTCAGTGATGATGGTTGAAGCCAGTTTGAAGTTGTAGACGCTATGTGTGAGCAGCACCAGCGAAGCGGACAGCTGCAGCACATCCATGCCAGTAATGTCGTCACCATCCTGGACTTTCTGTGGGGTCAGAATACATTATGGTAGGTTTTGAAGTCAGCAAGCTTCTTGTGACTTACCAATATTAAATCCAGCACACCGTTGGCCACTCCAGTGCCCGAAACCACGATGGACGAGATGTTCATGCCATTCACAGTCAACTGAGTGATCTACAAGATACAATTTGTTTAATTAATTTAGGATTTTATAGTGAAATATGTCTGAGGACTCACCGCTCCCACTTCCCGTCCGGCATTGGTGGCCGCAGTCAAGGCTGTGGTGGCTCCAGCCGCTCCCAATCCCACAGTGCCCGCAGCCACGCCCAACCAATGACCGCGTGCCTCGCGGTTCGTGACATTGATCGACTGCTCGTGCTGGCTGCGATCCACCAACTTGGCGCCGGAGCGGGCTGTCGCGTATCCTGCACTGGCCAAACCCACGACTCCGGCTACAGCCATCACCGGACCGGATACGGGCAGCGTCAGAAGCGCGGCTATGGGCACGCAAGCGGCAGCGAAACCTCCGATTGCTGATCCCGTGTCCAAGTAGCCCAGCACCTTTGTGTTGGGGCTGCCCGCCGGCGTTACGTACTTGTCCAGACGGACACCATTGTTGCCCAGGCGGTAGACACCCTTCTCCGGGGCCACCATCACTCCCTCGGGCAGCTCGTTGGTGGCCACATACTGCTCCCAGTTCTGGTAGACGCGACCCGTCTCGTCTATGAACAAATTGCAGCAATCGGAGCTGTCGCTGCTGCGACCGCTGTTCCCAGCTAGGGGAAAAATAACGAATTAGTGGGATGCTTTTTGTCAGATTTTCCGTTCCAGTTTTGCGTTGCCCTCATTAAAGCCCATAAATTGGTTCCTACTAAGTACTTTCCTATTCTTGTCTGTTCGATAAGAGTTGGAAAACCTATCGTATCAGACGCTTATAAGCTAGATGGCATGTGACTTTTCTTAATTCGATTGCTTTTATAATATATTTATAAAAAGAGGACATATGTGAAAAGAAGTATCTATTATTTGATGGGCTTACTAGTAAGTTTTGAGTTTTAAAAGTTTGGTGAATCAAGATAGTGGCCGTCTAGATAAAAGCTTTTAGTCCGTAAAATATATGGGTTTTTTAAAAGTAGCCATATAGAAATTGCATTTTAAAGTGTATGTGTGTAAGTGATTCACCAATTGCGTTTTTAGATTATTCAGATCTAGCTTTGATAGAGAATCCAAGTTTGACCCATATCGAAGCGTATGCTTGGGATTACTCACTAATGCATCGACGGGCCCGGAAAACTGGATGGCAGCTGAAAGTCCTGGAGTCCTCGGCGCGATTAACGTCCATTTGGTCGGTCACCACCATTACGTAGATGAGGGCAGTTAGCGATTGACGGTTGGTGTATTTACCTGGAGAAGAAAGCAAGGGCTTATGCAATCGATATGTACCATTCAATTTGGATCCCGGGCTTACGCTGCTCCCAAACAGCATCGAAAATGGTCTGACGCGCCTTCTCATTATCCGCGATGAGCTTCGTTCGGTTTCTTGCCTCCTTCTCATTTTCAGCCCGAGACCTGTTGGCCACTTCTTCAGCTGTTGGTAGTGGAGGATCACGAATCAGTTCCCTTAGCTTTTGGTTCAGCACGTGGGCTTGCTCCTGGGACAACCTGAAATGCAATCCGGCATTTAGCCACCGGAAAGCCAATTGCGCAGTACTTACAAATCCCAGATAATTTCCTCGGCGTAACCGAGAGACACTGCAAAGTCTTGTTGCACTTCGCGGGCGGTGCGGCGGGCACCTCGGTTTTCTCCAGCCTCTGCCATGTTGAATCTCCAGAAATACACCTTTGCCTGTTGCTCAGCTAATGAAGTTTTTTCCGGGTAACCACCAACTTATATGCGCACCGTTGGTCATCCGCATCCGATCGCACTCAAAATACCAAAACGCCAATCAGCTGGTCTTACTATAATTCAGGTAAAAGTGGCAAGTGCATAGTGCTGCCAGATTGTGACAGACTGATTCCACTGGCTGATTTTTCAATTCTGATTGAATGTTATCACTAATATTTATGCACATATTCATTATCCCTGAACGCGCTTGGTTTCGTATTTAATATTGTCAATGAAACAGTTATTTATATTTTAATAATAATTGTATGTATATTTTTTTATAAATTATGGAAATTGCAGAAACGGAAAGTGTCTAACTATGACACAAAAACCCGCGTTAATGGCACCCAATGTGTTTTTTAAGTCATAGCAAGTAAATTACTAATTTCCTAGACATCAATCTTACATTTTAATTTATAATGATTTTCTATTTAACCAAACAGAAAATGGTAAAGTTATTAAATATCTATCATTTACCTTTTTCTCCAGTTCACGAATCACGACCCCTGGCAACCCTAATGAACAACAGTGGCAGCCTGCCAGTCGATAGCCGTGCAATCGAACCGGCTCCACTTCCAGTTCCGCCTATCGGTTCCAGCACGAGCCAAACAACCCTACGTGTCAGTCTCATGCGTCGGTGTAAATACAGAGTTTTTTAAATTCGCGGCGTGCAAATCTTGCGAAATCTCGCAGCAGCAACAGCTCCCGCCCCCACTGGACCGCCCGCCCCCGCAGTCAGCCGCCCGTTGGTCGAAAATCCAAGTGGAGCAGCGTTTGAAGCGATAACTCCACCGCGACAGCAACATCAGCTGGAGCTGCCGGAGGTGGAAAAGTGCAAGGGAAAGCGGAAAGTAAAGGCCAGTGCCAGACGAAATACTAAACATATAGTCGCTTGCGGAGATGGCGGGTCAAAAGTTCCAGTACGATGAAAGCGGCGGAACATTCTACTACTTTGTGTTATCGTTCTTGGCGCTAATATTGATACCGACCACCATTTACTATTGGCCACGTAAAAAGAAAGAAGGTTAGTGCCGCTGCCGCTGCCCAGCCGATTTTAATCGCACTCTCTCCGCTCTTATTTTTTTTTTCGTATTCCACCTGCAGCTGTGCGCGGGTGTGTGTGAGTGCTAGTAAGGCATACATTACCCCCCTCTCTCTCGCACTCTCTCCTTCCGCCGCAAATGGACACGTTCCAATAAGCTATTCTAACAACGTCAGCTCAGCGTCTTCGTAGTGGTGAAAGCTGCGATTACCGCAAGTCGAGCTCTCTTCACTTCCCAATTGGGACAGCGCACTCTACGCTCCACGCGCGTTCATGCGTTGCAAAAATTCCGATAATGCTACTGTCACCGTGATCGGTTGTCGTGATCGTGACTTATCGCGATCTAAAAGTCAAGTTGTGTGTGGGTCAAGCGTGTGAACTTTGCGCACACACACACACCACTGGCCATTCGGCTACTCTCCCTAGATTTTCACTCTCCCGAGATTTTAATTTCTGTAATGCTGGCATTCCCGGTAATAAGAATACTTTATTCATAATCACTTGATCTATTTACATTTTAGGTATACAGACTTTATTTTATTGAAGTCACTCAAATGTATGTACATTGTACATTGTACGTTGCAGATGTCTGAAAATTATATTTTCAAAATGTATAGAGGTCTTTTTTTAAGCAGAAGTTTGTAATACTACTGATCTATGTATGTGTTTTTGGAAATTAATTGGTATTCCTTTGAACCCTAATTGAACTTAGGTTTATGTGTCGCTTTAAGAACTTAAAAAAAATTACGGAAATTAAACTAATAGTCCCAATACGCAATTTCCACAAAAAAATATTTTAAAAAGTTGAACTATACACAACACACAGTTACAATAAACCGATTGCATCCTTACTCACCCAATTTTCGTATCTTTACCTGTAGATCACGGCAAGCTAAACGAGGAATGCCAGTGCGCCGACTGCCTCAAAAAGAAGGCCATTCTGGCCAGTGCCGAGCCGTACAGGGCTCTAACATCATGGACCATCAAGCTGATCATCGTACTGGGCTGGGCTCTGCTGCTCTTCCTCACGTACCGCGTCTCGCAGTTCGACTACGAGATGGCCAGCTTCGATCCCTTCGAGATCCTGAACGTACCGCCCACCTCGTCGCAGGCCGAGATCAAGAAGGCCTACTACCGGCTCTCCAAGGTACTGCATCCTGATAAGGAGACGGGTGACGAGAAGTCCTTCATGATGCTGAGCAAGGCGTATCAGGCGCTGACCGACGATGTGGCCAAGGAGAACTACGAAAAGTATGGTAATCCTGATGGACCGGGAGCCATGTCCTTCGGCATCGCCCTGCCCTCGTGGATCGTGGAAAAGGAGAACAGTGTTTGGGTTTTGGGGCTGTACGGTTTGGTCTTCATGGTGGCCATGCCCTCGGCGGTGGGTGTTTGGTGGTATCGATCCATTCGCTTCAGCGGCGACAAAGTGCTGCTGGACACCACACAGATGTACTTCTACTTTATCCACAAGACGCCGCACATGCTGCTCAAGCGGGCCCTTATGGTGCTGGCGGCCAGTTTGGAGTTTGACAAGCGCCACAACTCGCAGGTGCAGGAGCGGCAGTCTGACAACGATGAGGTGCCAGCGGTAAGTGCATTACTTGATATTTCCTTCTGGTTAGTTACTATTGATGTCCCCTTTTTACGATATAGCTCATTCGGCAGCTACCCAACCTGAATGAGAAGTGCAAGGAGCATCCGCTGTGCCGCATGTACTCCATCAAGGCTCGCGCCATTTTGCATGCCCATCTCAGTCGCATGCCCCTCAATCCGGAAACCCTGGAGCGTGACCGTCAGTTTGTGGTGAAGAAGTGCCCCTATCTGGTTCAGGAGATGGTCTCCTGTGTCCATCAGTTAGTCATGATGGCCTATGCACGACGTGTGCCCCGCCTGCCGAGCATTGAAACGATTGAGAACTGCATGAAGATGTCGCCGATGATTATACAAGGGCTATGGGAGTTCAAGTCGCCGCTGCTGCAGTTACCCCACCTCACCGAGGACCATTTGTACTTCATGAACAAAAAGCGTCACGTTAAGAACCTGCAGCAATTCGCCCAGCTAAAGCCAGAGGAGAGCCGTCAGCTATTGAAGAATCTATCGGACTTTGAATACGAGAACACCATGAAAGTGCTGGGAAAGATGCCGCTGATTGACTTCTCCATCCGTTGCGAGGTCATCGACGATGAAAACACCAATGTGGTTACCGCTGGGGCCATAGTTACGGTCACGGTTACGCTGGAGCGCAAGGACATGAAGTCGCTGTTCGGCGACACCAAGGTGCCCGAAAAGCAGGGCATCAAAGATGAGGCCAACGAAGAGGCTGCCGGGGATGAGGACGAGGCTGCCGCTGCTGCTTTGCCGGTCAAGAAAGCGTCCGCCTGGGCAAAACCACGAAAGGGAGGCAAGGGAAAGGGTGGCAAGAAGCCAGCCCAGAACCAGAAAAACAACCAGAAGAAGGGACCGACCAAGGTGGCGGCCACGGCTACGAACACGGCTTCCGAGGATCAAGCGGCGGCGGCGGCGGGTAACTCCGATGCCGAATCAGAGGCCGGAAATGCAGAGGGCAGCGATGTGGAATCGGCTGCCGGTAGTGGCAGCGAGGACGAGGAGAAGGGCAAGAATAACTCCTCGCTGGACGACGACGATGACGAGGAGTGGGAGCGACTGCAAGCCAAGCTTAACAAGAGGGAGCGTCTCGAGGGCAAGTCCCGATTGTCGCACACTGTCCACTGCCCCTACTTCCCCGAGGAGAAGCAGGAGTACTGGTGGACCTATATCTGCGACCGCAAGTCGCGCACCCTGCTGACGGCTCCCTATCACGTGACCAATCTGGTCGAGAAGGAGGAGATCCAGCTGAAGTTCACCGCGCCACGCTGGCCCGGCGTCTACACGTTTACCGTGTGCCTGAGATCAGGTGAGTTACTCCTTTTTTTAAATCGCGAAAAGTCGCTTTACAATTTTATATGCAAATTAATCATTCCTCCCTTCTCTTAGACTCCTATTTGGGTATGGATCAGCAGCAGGAGCTGAAACTGGATGTGCAGAAGGCGCCCGCACCACCGACAGATCATCCCCAGTGGGACCTGAGCGAATCGGAGCCGGAGCACAATGACCAGCAGGAGAACCTGAGCGACTACACCACAGACACGTCCGATGAGGAGGACAGCGACTAGATCTAGATGGACGGACAGACCGACCGACGGAAGGATGGACGTCCCGAATCCCAATCAACCTCAACCTCCTCTCTATTTCTCTGGGACGGAAGAGAAGCCTCTTTGTTTTCCTTTTAGTAAATGAGTTTCGCGTGGCGGAGGAGGCACACCAATGCGACCCTTCCTTCGCATTTTTACTAGTTTTGTAATGGAAAAGACCCCGAACTAGTGCGTAAATAACTATAACTTCATTTTACCGTGTACTGTACTAAACATAATTATAATGTACTGTATATTTAATTATTTGGATACAAGAACTAAAAGTGAGACACGTAAATACAAAAGTCTATTGATATTACTACTCTTTTGTTGTGTGGTCAATTAACTGAAAAAAAATCTTCGGGCTTGTTAGGGCTTTCACGTATTTTAATGATCAATCAATTTGAATTTACCGAATAATGGCTGATCTTTTTGAGTATTAACATTATATGCATTAAATTATATAACATTTTTATAAGTAGCATCACATTCACTTTAATTTAAACCATTTAAGGGTATTCATTTCATTTAACAAGTATTTTGTAATTTGTTATAGCTGTTTTTAACAATATTTTCCCCTAACGATTTTTTACTTGACCGTTTTATTCGATTATTGTAAACCGTTTTTTTTAATGTAGATGTTTAAAGTTTCTAGGTCCCAAGGCCACTAGTAAATTCATTTAATAATTAATTTTACATATTTTAATAATTGTATATCCTTTTTAAATAAATTTGATACAAAAATCTAAAATTTAAAAAAATTAAAAAAAAAGATCTGCAAGAAACAGGTGAAACTCGCAACAAGCCCGAACAATTTTTTAAAATAATAGATTTTATTTAAGTAAAGACGGCATGGTCCTGCGTTGACGTCGATGTCTACTGCGCAGCCGCTGCTCGTTCGCTGTCCAAAAAGAGATCCGATTGGGAATCTGAAGAATTGGACGTCTTCACTGCTGTTGTTGTCGTTGTTAGCTTCTTTTGTTGCTGTTGTAGGCAGGAGCGTGTCATTTTTGGTATGAAAGGGGTAAAATTATATAAAGTCACATAAAGCCTTAATCTAGGGTTCGTTACCCGTCACCAGATTCGTTATTAGTGGGTTCTTGTTTCTATTTACAAAACTTTTTTGGTTCTATTTGGCTAAATGTGCATTTTTATGTGCGAGTGAGTGTGTTTGTGCAGTGGTGTTTGTGGTGCAGATGTCAGTGTGTGTTGGTTGTCGTTTTGGTGGTACACAATTATTCCTCTTCACTTTCTTCGGAAGAGGATTTCTCCTCAGCCGGTTTACTTTCTTCATTTTCGGGCGTGTTTTCTGCTACCGTTTCTTCAGGTTTCTTTTCCTCGGCGAGTTCTTTCGACTCTTCTTCGGTTTTTTCATTGGTATCATCTTCAGCATCACCTTCGTTTTTCACTTTAACTTCATCTTGCCCTGATTTTTCTGTATCATCTTCGGATTTATCTTTGGTATCTTCGCCTTCGGTTTTTTCTTCAGTACCATCTTCCTCGGACTTTCCTGTGTCACCTTCCTCGGTATTTTCTTTGGTATCATCTTCATCATCACCTTCGGATTTATCTTTGGTATCATCACCTACGGTTTTTACTTCAGTATCATCTTCCTGGGATTTTTCAGTATCAACTTCCTCGGGTTTGTTTTTGGTATCATCTCCCGCATCATCTTCGGTTTTTACTTTGTCATCATCTTTATCGGACTTTTCCGTATCAACTTCCTCGGGTTTATCATTGGTATCCTTTTCATCAGCTTCCTCGGTTTTTACTTTGGCATCATCTTCTTTTGTTTTTACTTTGGCATCATCTTCTTTGGTTTTTACTTTGGCATTATCTTCCTCGAACTTTTCTGTGTCAACTTCTTTGGGCTTATCTTTGGATTCTTCTCCATCACCTTCCAACTTATCTTTAGTACCATTTTCCTCGGATTTTTCTGTGTCAGCATCTTCGGACTTTTCTGTATCAACATCGTCGGGTTTATCTTTGGTATCATCTCCCTCATCATCTTCGGTTTTTTCTTTGGCATCATCTTCCTCTGATTTTTCCGTATCTTCTTTTTTATCATCACCTTCAGTTTTTACTTTGGTACCATCATCCTCAGATTTTTCTTCACTCTCCTCTTCAGTTTTTTCTGTTTCTTTATCAGGATACAAATTATGATTAGTGTCTAAGGACATTCTTTTACCTTTACCTGTAGCTTCTTCCTCCTTTTTCTTATCTTCGGACTCTGCGCCCTCTGCGGTTTCAGTCTTTTTATGGGTGGTTGGATTGTGGTGCGTGCGAATGTTTGTGGGTTGTCGATATGTGGGTATTTTTTGGGGTAAGGAAGGTGGAAATGTATATACAAGATCAGATCAGTGGGATCTCTACCTTTGCTGAGCTACTGGAGTGCAATATCATGCCTTTTTAGCTTCTACAAGCTCTACAACTCTAGTGTTATGGTTTACCATGCATATTCTATCGATCTATTACCTTTTCTTCAGTATTTTCGGCGGCATCTTCACCTTCGCCCTCTGCTTTCTTTTTGTCCTCGCCGTCCTTGTCTTCGTTCTTTGAAGAATCACGCAATCATTATTAATGAATTTACATTACAAAATAGTTTTATAATGCTCGATATGTAGGGCAACAAAATGCTCAAAAAATTGCGATATAGATTTTTGACTAATTGGTAAATTTTTCAAGAGCATTTACCAACTTTTAAAAACCTTATTGTAATTCTTGGCTTTTGTAAGTTTGGCTTGCTTTCATTCTTTTTGTTAGGTTTGCTGTTGAGTTAATGCTGTGTTGGTGTTAAAGTTTAAGTGTGTTATCAGTGTTAGAAAAACAAGCTGGCTGTTGGTTATGATTTTTTAGTTAATACAAATATATTTCCTTTTATTACAGGGGCAGCGCATTTTTATGTTTTAGCATTAACATAACGGCTGCATTAAAAATGTTCAGCTCTCTACACTAATCCAACTTAGGCTTAAGTGCTGGCGTGTATTCAGAGTCCTCACAGGTGTGTATAAATGGTACATACAAAGGTGTTGGATGTAAGTTAATGAATATAAATATTTTGATTAAAATTGTCTTTTCATCCGGGGGTTAACACAATCGAAAGCCCTCGCTTAAATACGCTCGTAATCTTAACTTAAGAACCGCAGTCGTCATGATGAATTCGTTAAAATATTAAACACAATTAGAAGATAAACGTGTCAGCTTCCGATTTCAAATCCTATTGAATTTGAGGCAAATGGCACTAATAAAATGTTAGGAAAACATACAAAATGATTAAAATATAATTAATCTCGTGGTTTTAAAAAAGTTTCATACGAAACATAGTACACTTTGTAAAAGGTTTATAAATTCTTTCCATTATATTGCCTATAAAAATAATCAAAAACGGAAAAACTCATACGCAAATCCATTTCCCCCAAACCCTATAGGCGTAGAAACCGGAGACAGGTGTTATAAATAAGAAATAGAGAGTTGGTAGTGTCTGTGCTGTTAGATAACATTACGGGTTATAGCTGCTGTTAACTTTAGTTGGCTTTAGTTGCAAGATGTTGCTGTTAAATCTATTGCTTTGCTGCAGATGATTGCTGACATCGATCGTTTGTTTGTTGCGTCGTAACAGTTAACGGAAAATACGTGAAAATAGCTGAAGTTCAAACCTCGGCCTTCTCCGCAGCCTCGTCCTTGGCGTCGCCTTCGCCGCCCTCTGGTTTCTCCTCCTCGGGCTTCTTCTCCTCCGCTTCCGCCTCCTCCTTCTTGGCCTCGCCGTTCTCCTGCTTCAGTTCGATTTGGGCGGTACTGACCGCCGTGGTGTCGGCAGGGGCCAGCTTGAGGAACACCTCCAGGGTGTCGATCTCGTTGGCCATGTCGAAGGCGTCGTAGTCACCGCAGTACTCCTCGTCGTTGAAGAGCTGGGGAGGAAGCGGATGGCGGGGCTCTGGGTCGCTGACCGTTCCGCCGCTGCTCGTCGATTTGTTCTGCATCAGCTCCTTCTCGGACTCCTTGCCGGGCTCCGTGATGTCCACCGTGTCGTACTTGATGTTCTTGCTGTCCAGGATCATCAGGACGCGCTGCTGGCGCTTCTTGACCTGCAAAAAGTAGGATAAGTATACTGAATAAGAATACAAAACACATATTATGGAAGTTAGTTAAGTCTAACATTTTTTTAAAGGAGGAATCGCATTATATCAATTCTTGTGTGGAACGTATGGAATCAATTCTTTTTTTTAGTTGCGAATATTACCGTGTTTCTAAGAACATTTTTATCAAATATTTGTTGCATTTTTTACGAATTTCTGTCAAACTATCTTAAAATATTAATATTAAAAAACTCACACAAGTTTACATTTTTAAAAATTGTTTTTTTTAAGTGTAACTACCTTTAAAGCTGTTAGCCAACACTGTTAATTACAGCGATGACTTATCGGCAATGAAATATTACCGGCAAGCCCAAACTCACACAAGCACACGCAAAGCCCACTCCCACACCCCATACAAACATGCATGCAAACACCCCAAGAACATGGATACGATAGAGCTCCTAATTAAAATGGTTTCTTGCACTCTGGTAATTAACTTGCGATATGGAGTTGTATCTTCCATAGATTTCGCTCATTCTTTTTTTTACAAGTGTAGGCAGCGCAAAAACAAAAGCATTGTGACCCGCACAATGACCGTTATGTTTTTGTTCTTATTGGGAGAGACGCTGCCAATTGAACAAAGGCGGCGAAAGAGAGAGAGGAGGGAAAGGTGGTGAATCACACTCACGCATGCACAAACACACACACACGCAGCCCACGCAACTGCGATCAATGGAAATCTCTCTCTTCCATGAACAATTTACAGTTCACAGTGGAATAAGCTTATATGGGCAATGAAATGTATGTTTGTGCTGCTTCTTGCCACCACCAACAGTCGCACACAAGCAAACTCACGAAAATGCCCACTTGTTTTTCTTCGACTGTACATACAAACGTACATACCACACAAGACATCATCATCACCAAACACATATACATACATAGAGGCATAGAACGCAGCAGAAGAAATAGAATTTGCAATGCATTCGTCACCACTTTGGTTTTGTTCTTTTCTTTTTCTTTTTTCCGATGTTTGCTGCTAATAACAGGGCCAAACATTCCAATAACATGACACTATCTTCGGTTTAAAACCCGCCACGCCCACAAACTCACCTCCTTGTTGCCGGACATGCCGCTGACGTAGACTTTCAAGACCATTTTCGCAATTAGTTATGTCCTCGCAGCGCCAATTAAATTATATTTGGCGACTAAAATTCGCTGGCTACTTTCACGGTGATTAAAAATATTTTTAGATCTTTTCTTTTCCTGCTTTCTTCCGATGCCCCTACGTAATGTTTTCACTGGTGACGAAGGCACACGCACTGGGCAGGGTGGTTGGTTAGATGGGCTGTAAAAACTGCGAAGACGCGGCTAAGAAAGGTGACCTGGCGTCGCTTATAAAAGTGCAAAAATATTTTATATTTATCAGGATTGGAAATTATTTCCAACTTTGTCGTTGAATCGAATAGTGTGGCGGTGGCTCCAAAATACCATCCGGCAACGGAAAATATACTAAAATTTTTGCGACATTACGGTCACACGCGAATGTTAGGAGGGTGTCTTCGCTAAGGTAGCCGATACACCCTCCTAACATTCGCGTGGGACCGTATTTTATAGGGTCTTCCCACAGAGATCCATTTACCATCTACCATCCGTTGAACGGATGGTCCATAAGGTTTTGCCGTTCCGAAAATTTCCCAGTTAGTTCCCCATCCAAATTTGACGGACTATTTTATGCGATAGTTAGGCGATAATTTTGGGTGGAAACCCTAAACTCTTCTTCTAGACAGTGGAAAGTGAAACATTCATTACGAAAACGTAGACAATGATGACGGGAAACTTTTGAAAATGGAAGGCGAGAGTATGTCCCCACACTTATATCTTTGGTTTAAAATGATATAATATAATGTATTTTTTGCAGATACTAGGGAATACTTTGCGAAGCTCTTGGATGTATACCCAGATGACAGGGAAGCTTCTATCTGCAGCGGCATTCAACGCTCAGGCAGCACTGCTAAGCGCGCAAAGGTGGACCACAAGTCGGAGCTTGTGGATTTAGCTCGAGAAAGGCTGGAGGAGCAGCGAGCGCAGACAGAAATATTGTCGAGAATGGCAGACAGCCAAACTAAATTCCAATCGGATTTGTTGGAGCTGTTGAGAAAAGCAACGAATTCCCAAAAATTTAGAATAAATAGACCAAAATAATAATTAATAAAAAACAAGAAGATTTATAATTAATGAACTTTATTTGTTACCATTTAGCCAATATTGGGAAATAGCTGCCCTTATTTTTTTCTGCATGATGGCTAAAATCTGCAGACATATTAGTCCGATTTGTTTGTTCGCGTAGGTCACTTACAGCCTGTTGCCAAGTTGCATTTATAGCGCTGCTATGCTCATTTAAAATGTTGTGCAAAATGCAACAGGCTAAAATGACTGCATTATTATTCTTGTAGTGGCTGTCAAGACCATTCCCAACAAACCGCTGATGTTCCCAAGGCTATAGCGATCCGCTTTTCCAGAGGAATGGCATTTCGCCAGTTCTTCCGCAAAACACATAGTCGGTCCGCCAAAAACCAAAAGGTCCTCTTCTCCATACGAAAGCTCTCTTTGAAGATCTCGTCGTTGTTTTCCGGTATATCCTTTTCCCAAAATGTCCCGTATCGCATTTTTTTTAATATAAATCGCAATCTTTAATAGTATTTAAGAGCACGTACCAGCATCCACACACTTCGTGGCATTTGCTCTTATGCAGAAAAAATTCCAATAAAAGCTGATTCAACTTAAGATTTTGCTGTTGTACAACGGCCAAAATAGTTGGTAAATGTTTCATTTTGGTCTGGCAAAATCCACTTTCCCAATTTTTGCTTGTGTTTTTATTAGCCAAAGCTGATTTGACAGCTGTTGTCGGATGGTAGATGGTAGATGTGCCCTGTGGGAATCGGATTTTCACATTTGTCAAAAATCCCAACCGTTTCGAACGGATGGACTCTATGGTATAAAATATCGATATATCACGATATAAATATTTATTTTTATAAAAAAATATCGATATATATATTTTGATATATTTTCACGTCCACAACGGTCGCCCTGCGGTCACACTGTTCGCCCGTCACGCACTTCGTCGTCCATTTTTGAGAATCGAGACGAAAATTTGTAAATTAAAGAAGGCGAGTCGCAGACGTCGAACACCTACTGACAGTGCATTTCAGTGGCCTTTTGAATACTGCTCAAACAACCAGCCAGCAACAGCAATACTAATTTCTACCCGAAATATATAGATTAACCCCCTCAACTGAAGTTGGGCCGTGAATGTGCGTGCGTATGTGCCAGCGGAGTAGTGGCACAATAAAAAAGTAAATAAAGCGCGTGTGAAGTGGTGCAGAAAGCGAAAAGAGAGCCGCAAGAGCCAGAAAATCCAATTAACGTATGTAAGTGCGATGGTGTGAAAAGTGTGTTCAGCGTTTTTCCTCTGGAAAGCTGATAATGATATGCGATTCGACCATTTTTAAAATTTCATGAAATCAACATTCCAACTCACAACGGTGTGCGTGTGCGTGTCTCTGTGTGTGTGGGCCTCTGTGCAGGCCAGAGCGAGACAACCAGTGTGATCGCCTTGGCTGCTGTCATTTCGGTTTCGTTTTTTTAAACTAATCTCTGGTATTTGTCACGTAAAAGAGTAAAACGTAAAACACAAAAAGCGCATTTAAAATGGTTAAGAAAAAAGTATAAATTATTGGAAGAAGGAGAGCAGCAAACTCAATCACACACACACACACACGTGTTGAGGTTAATCGAACTCTGGCCGTGTGCGTGTGTTGGTGCGGAAAACAGCTGGTACAGCTGCCGCTGCAGCGAAGAAGAAGAGGGAAGGAAAGGGGCCATAAAGAGGAGAGCGAAGAACACGCTTATTATCCTTATCCTGCGTAGTTTAGTTTTGTCGGTGGTTGTTCTGCCATTGGGTTACAGTTCACACTTTCCACTGCTCCTTTTGCGTCTTGCATTGCTATGCATTTGCTGTTGTTGTTGCCATTGCCGTGGTGGTTTCCATTGTCGGCCGTCCTTTAATTGCGCTGCGCCACTTCTTCGCTTTCTTTGCCCGTTTCTCCCTCTGTTCGGAGTTTCTGGTCATTCGGAATGGGAATTCCGATTCGGTATCGCCCTTTTCTTTTCCTGCGGCGACAGCAGCTGCTTGCAGGGCATCGGAGCTGTCGGCTATGGCCGGAAAAAAGCTAGGAGCCTCTAAAGTAGCCAAACACTTGAACAATTTAAGGACCATTTAAAGTTTAGAACATAATTTTAATTTAACAAATGTGTATCATGGCGATCAAAGATACATGAGGATTGTATAAACCTTTTCCCAATTCTTTATCCGAAAAAATGTATTTTTTAATTGATTGAATATTTTAGGAGCTTAAAGACTTGGTAAAACGAAACCGTGACGAATATTAAATTGGGAACAGTCACTCCATGTTTTATTTTTTGCTTGCCTTGTATATTTTTCAGTTCTCTTTTTGCCTTGTCCCAAACCAAACGTCATTAATGTTAGGCGAACTTGGCTTCTAAAAGCTCGTTACTGGCGTTTTAGTTTTATAAATGGTTTTCTTGGAAAAGAGATCGGCTTGCTGTAATTATGGCTAAATAGCATTTTTAAAGCCTTTTAAGATTTAATTTATGCCGGCTTATCCACATTTTAATTATAAGTAATTTATGCTGATGTTTCTACCAAATAATCTTTTAAAAGATTGCCCCTGCATACAAAGCGTTGAACCATCTGTTAGTTATCTTACCACTTCAAGTTATTTCGAAAATCACGGCCCCTAGAAGCGATAAGATAAGGAAATGATATTTTTCCCAGCTATATCCAGGCAGAAAGGCCAAATTGCCAGCACTGGCATTGCCATAAATCGCTGCACCATTTTCTTTTATTGGCTGCGTGTGCGTGAGTGCACGCCTGTGAATCCTGTTTTTCCTTGAAACCAGTTTGTGGTCTTTTATCTGCCAGCAAGGTGTTCACTTCACTTTACTCATTCATTGTTTGTTTGCCCCTTGCAGCCGACGCTCGATCATCCATCTGCAGCATCCATCATCCGACACCGAGGCAATAATCAGCAGCAGCTACCTACAATCTATATCAATCCCTCAGAAGAACCCCGGGAAGAAGAACCTCAATCATAGCGATGGCCTGTGCAACCCTGAAACGCGCCTTAGACTGGGAGTCGATGAACCAGCGTCCTCCGAAGCGCCGGCGCTGCAATCCGTTCGGCCAGGCCGGGAGCAACGCAGGAACAGCGTCCCCGTCCCGCGACCGCGACGGTCCCAGCACCTCGGCGGGACTGCCCCACACGCCCAGCAATCGATTCGCCAAGGACAACACCGAACCCAGTCCGTTCAGCGAGGCCTCGCTGGCCAAGATGTCGCCAGGTGAGATAATTAAGATAAGGAATGGTTTAAAGCCTCTATATCTTGTGAGACTAAATTACCATTGAGTACCTTTATCCATGATAATTGGTTTTATAATGGTCAATGCCGTATGTGCATGTTGCAATCGCTATCAATGCAATTCAATGAATTTATATCTTTCAAAGTAAAAACATTTTCAATGTAATGCTCAGGAAATATGATCTATTTTAATTGTTAATGTTATGTTTTAAATGTAATGACCATTTTACCGACACATTTAGGACCCAAGTTGGGTTTCATCAATGTAACACTACGAAATATGATGTATTCTTAATGAGTTTAAGTTTAAAATCTATTTTGTCCGTTACATATAGATCATATATAGCTGAACAATTATAAGGATCAATTTTCTGTAACATGAGATCTCTGAACTGTCCCCATTTTAAGTTCCATCCCCTATAACAATCTTATCTTTTAGCACCCCTAAAAATGTGCAGGTATTTCTAAACACCTTACCCCTTCCCAATTTCCAGACAAAATGGCCGAGAGCTTGTGCAACGAGATCAAGAGACTGCACAAGCGCAAACAGCTGCCGATCACCTCGTCGGCCTTGGAGCGCATGCAGGACTCGGAGTCGAGCGGATCGGAGATGGGCCCGGAGAGCCCGCGCCGCCCGGACAGCCCACCGAACCTGATGCGGCACGGCGAGAAGGCCCTGTTCACGTTCAAGCAGGTGCAGCTCATCTGCGAGAGCATGATCAAGGAGCGGGAGAACCAGCTGAGGGAGCGCTACGAGTCCGTGCTGACCACCAAGCTGGCCGAGCAGTACGATGCCTTCGTCAAGTTCACATACGATCAGATACAGCGTCGCTACGAGGCAGCGCCTAGCTGTGAGTGTTCAAATTGGCATCCAACCCCTGTTGATATGCTTACTAATTGACTTATCCCTTTCAGACCTGTCGTAAGGCTGTGCAGGTCCTCGAGCCTCACAGTAAGGAAATTAATAATTGCACTACGATCTTATGTGACGGTAGATCTACCGCGACAACAACAGCCCTCATTTAAAACTAAAACAACAAAACAAATAAGGAAACTAAAGCAAACGCAAAACAAACCAACAAAAAAACCTAAAAAACGCAAAAAAAAAAAAAACAAAACAAACAAACTACAACATACATCGTGTTTAATATATTTTGAAATACACGCGAAGAAAGCAGTTATAGTTTATGCCTAGATTTACATATATATTGTATCGGTTAGCAGCAAAGGGATGAATTATTTAACAGCAAGCAGAAAAAACAAAAGAAGAAAACCAAGAAATCTTGTTAAATTTATGTTTTTCACATAACGAAAATTCTAAATAAAAGGACAAATATCTGATATGAAGAACTATAAGCACACAGCCACTGCAGACATATATGGTGCATCCGTAGAGAGAACGATTCAATGAAACCTCAAACGTAGCTTCGTACATAACAGACCGACAGAATTGGTAAATATAATGTTAGGTACATGTAGCATTAAGGTATGATGTAAAACGTATCAAACTATATTGTTTTTGAAATAGTTATTTATGAGCGGAAGGCCCCGAGCGAATGGGGCGAACATTAAATCAACAAAGATAACTCACTACTCATGAAGAACACTTTTCATAGTTTATTTTTGCATATTAGTTGTACTGAGGCGAGAAACGAACGCTTTGTCTATTTTCTCGAGTATCGTTTGTTAATTGTTTCTTCCTTTGATGCAAATTATGGCAAAGTAATGTAAACACACAAAACAACTGAAATGTTTCGATTGGCTTTGCAAAATACGGAAAAGAATACCGAAAAAAGATAACACAAAAAAAGAAAATATATTCATTAAGTCAAATTGAACGCTTTCTTATATAATACGCTTGACAGAAGAAGTTTCATGTTCATTACAAATATTTTTTTCACACCTTGAAGAATATATACAAGAATATATGATATATATATATTTTTCAATTACCGCAATCATACATACTTTATATTAGTAATTTAAACTTAAAATTAGTAAAGAAATGCCATTTTTATATTAAAACAAACAAAAATAAAATGATGAATTGTAGAAGCCCGCTGGTCTTTTCTTTTTAAAGCTTTTAATTCTGTTTGTAAAATGATCTTTAAATTTCATCCGTTTGTAATCCCCATTATTATTTAAACCCACCCTAAATTTCTCAATAAAGCGTTATGATTGGTTCAGGTTGCTCTAAAAGTAAGCTGATGGTAAAAGTAAGCTTTGAAAAATCATTTACCAATACCGGTAGAATATTTGTTATCGGTTTAGCAAAGCTTGGGGCTAACTTTTTTCAGATGGGAAAGACTGAACAATCATCTGATGCCCGATTTAAATAAATTAATTAACTTCTGAACAACTTTCCATTTATGAATAACAATTAATAGTCTTTATAGTGGTTTCTCCAGACTCTGAGAATATTCAAGTGATTTATTGATTTTTGTGCGTTCAACAGAAACTTTCCAAACTTATCACTAATTAACTAAAAATACGCTTGTTTCACATGCTTACAATTACATAATAATGCATTAAAAGTCTTCAATAATAAATACATTTAGTTCAAAACTCAATTGAACGGAATGAGGAGGGTTATCTTATCATCATTATCAATTACAAGCCGACGTGGAGCGTCTCCCGGCTAAGAAAACTTCGATATTCAAATTCCACATGTTAACTAAGGAAAGGCTCTGGGGGAAACAACATTGTTCTAGAGGGGGGAGAACATACGACCCGGAAGGCACTACATATGGTAGAATGCGTAGCATAATACGAGATGTGGGGAGGGAGCTGTAAAGGGGTAAAAATGGAAATTTCGAAATAAAAATATCAGTCGGTATGGTTGATTTCTGCATGTTTGCTTTTCGAAGAACGGCATCGATAAACTGATGTGGAAGAGCGAATGGCTGTGGGAATCGGAATCAGAGCTGTTTCTTTTCCTTCAGCGGTGTGTCCTTAGATGGCTCCTGGCCTGCGACGAACGTCGTCCTGGAGAAGGGATCCACACTTGCGTCCCTAAAGGTCTTCTTTTGGCTCTGTAAGCTCTTTGCCGCCGACGTTGCGGCAGCGGTGGGCGTGGCAGCCGTGGGTCGAGCATTATTCAGATGTGTCTGGCCTCCCTGGTGAACCAATCCGCCAACCATCGACTGGTGAAAGCGGAAAGAAGCGGGTGCAGATGTTCCATTGTGTATAAACCTATCGGATTCGGAACCAAATATGTTAACCGACGAACTGTCGCTCAGCGGAGCATCCACCCAGTTGCGCTTTACGGTTAAGACCATCTGATCCTTGACCTTGAAGATCTGCTCAATAATCCCATCGATTAGAGAACCAAGTGTGTCGTACTCATTGGGCACCATTCCATCGACGCTGCTCTCGAAATAGCTGAACATGGGAAACCAAACACGCGTCCTCTTCGAGTCGCTTTGCATGAGAGCCTGTGAAACGAGAAGGGGTTTAGAAAGGTTATTTACAGGAAAGGAATCTAACCAATGTCATAAATACTCACTCTGTTATTCGCCAGCGTATGGTAATAAAGAAACAGGCGTGAGGTGATATAGAAGGCAACGAACACATCGATTGAGTAGTGCTCATGGGCAGCCAGGATGAAGAAGATTCCGAACATGTTCAGCAGCCAGGTGAGCGTGTGTAGGAAGTACAAATTGCGCGGCGTATCTGGAGAAATAAAGTAGAGGTCAGTACGCTAAAACAGATACTAATAAATACTAAAACTCACACTCAGTGATAAAAAAGTTGAGCAGGGTCAGGGCCACCGTGTGACCACTGAACATGTAATCGCCGCAGGTACGCACACCCTGAATGGACATTCCCAGGCCGCTCCAGATGCGATAGGCCCGCGACATCCGGATGATCAAGGCACCCAGCATGTCCACATTGGGATCATCTATGGCAAAGTCCTTTTGGCTGCACTGCAGATGCGTTCCCGGCACGCTCAGCGAGGTGATCAGCATGGTGACGCAGCGCAGCAGAAAAACCGTGCCCGCCAGAGCGAAGAATCGCCGCAGAAGGACCAATCGGTACTTGTGGAAGATCAGGACGACCACCCAAATGGTGAAAAGCAGCGAGCCAGTGATTTCGCACATGTTAAAGGCCCACGGAATGTGTGGCACATTATCCAGGAAGATATCCGGCAGCGGCGGATAGCGCTTCATGTCCGGAACCCGCTCATGCACGATAACCATCGTTAATGAAGTTATCCAGGTGACCACGAACGAGTAGCCTGCAAGTGGAGAGAAAAAATAGCACGGTTACTAGGCGGATCCAAACTGTGACTAACTTAACTCTGCACATGGAAAAACAGTTGTGAAATCGGCAATTTGCTACCGTAATCTAGGAATCCCAGACTAGAACGAATTGAATCTTTGAATTGATTTATTTCGTATTTTTAAAACTGGATCAAATAATATATGCTTTATAGTCACTATAAATAAAAGAACATGCTACCTTATCCAATAAAGATTTATAAATTGTAAGAAAAAAAAGGATCCTAACACATCATTTTCAATACAGAAATAAAAACTGAAAAAAAAGTTTATTCACAATGATGACTAAGGCACGAGAGATCAGTGCATATATAAGTACAAAAGTACACTTTGCGATTTTCTGATAGTCATCTTTGTGTTATAATTGTACTATATATAAACCGCAAACCTTTGTAACAAAGGAACGAAACATTTTTATTTTTATTGTGGATGCCTTTGGCCCCATTTCAAATGCGATAAAAGTGTAATATTTACTACCTAAGCCAAGAATTATCTGTTTATGCCTTTATCTGCCAAAATTTGGACTTATCTATAGAATTGGCCATGACAAAAGAAAACAAACACAGCCTGTAACGATAAATGCATTATCGAAAAAGAATGGCTCTGATAGGAAATTGGCCTAGATAAGTCCGTTGTTTTGTCTGGACTTTGCTCATTTGAATATTAAATGTGTGTTTTCTAACAGGAATCAATTGAACGTTTTTATCCACAAATCTGTTTATAGACAATATTTATTTTGAACCAAACAATTAAGTGTACCTTTCTAGGTACTTAATAAAAATCGAAATGCGATTGACAACTGTGTTTATGTTTTGTTTTGTCGCTAAACTTTTGTAGATTTCCCCGTAAAGTAAGTCAGCCGTTTGAAGGGTACCATAAACAAATCGAAATTTGAAATTTAATGCACGCAAAGTTACACAAAAAGCACACAAGCCCACACAAATAATGAAAATAGTAAGCCTGAATGAGAGGCGAGATTCCCCATGAGTACATGTACAAATAAATGCGAGCGGCGTCTCCACAATAACCTTCAAAATGCTCAATATAAATAATAGTAAAGCACCAAGAAACTATAATTAATATTAGGGTGACGTATTAAGGAACATTGCATGTGAACTTGTAGGGAAAGCCTTTTATTTTTGTGTTATCAAGTGTTATTTTTGGGTTGGAAGTGCATACCTAAAATAGAGTTCAGTTCGGGAACTATACTTGTAATACAATTATGAGCTTAGTAAAATGTATAGCGTGCGTGACATTGAACTTTGAGGGAAACCAATTAGTTTTGGGTTATCACCAAGGTAGTGATTGGATTTGTTGTGAATTAGAACTGCTGAGAATAGCTGAGTAACCTAAAAAGGAACACATCTATTAGTTAATTATTTCCTATGATGTATAGAGTATATAATATTAAAGTTATGGACATTTTCGCATACGAATTTAAACTATCGAAGTAAGTGAAATATACTGCTTATTTCAAGGTTGTCAGCTATAGGATATGAAAAAGAAAGCGAAAGTCCGATAATGCAGAACTATTTTTAAATAGTGACATATGGTTATAAACTTATAGGAAAGCTAGCCACAGGAAATGAACAATTTACTGCGACTTTTATTTTATAAATCTGATATCTGATAAACTACAAGTTATATTGACGTATTATTCACCATATGCGTATGGTTGCCTTACTTATAAGGCAATCCCATGGGGAAACCTCTTATTTCTCGGCTATCGCAGGGCAAGTTTATGGCTGAATTGAGCTATAGCGAAAAGCTCTCGAGAATTGGCACACGACCGATAAGCCCGGAGAAGCAATCAATGGACAATTGACCTTCGTAATTGAAGGGGGGCAGGCTGAGCGGTCTACTCACCTAAGCTCATGGCGGTCTTGAAGTATTCCGGCGGAACATAGCGTCCGCCCATGCGCAAATAGGTATCGCAATCGGACACATAGCTGGGGCACTCGACCTGCGGGCAGGGGCACGTGGATGTCGAAGGAGGACCACCACCGCCGCCGGTGGTGGTGTTAAGTGGCATATAGACGGAGTTGCCGCCATGGCTCTCGATGCCCAGCATCACGGACTCCGCGGAGCTGCTCTTCACCAGCAGCTGCAGTTTGAGCGCGGCGAGCCAGAATTTCTTGAGCTCCCCGAAGGTGAGTTTGTAGCCCAGGCGGTAGCGCAAGTCCCGCACATCCTCCTCGGTGAGGGAGAGCAGGACCTCGCCGTCGATGGCCTCCAGGCGCAGGCAGTCAAGCAGGATGCGCGAGAAGTGCTCTGTATAGCAGGCCCAATTGGACACATCCTCCGTGGACCACTGGGCCACCAGAAGGGGATCCACGGGCTCCGGTTCGGGTGATCCATTTGTCAGGTGCTTGTCCGCCGGATCGAGATAGTGCGTCCGGGCCTCCGGATCCGTCGATATCAATCCACCGCCCTCGGAACGTGGCTGAGTCACCGGATCGCCAATTTCACCGTCGCACATCGCGCTTTCTTTTTTCCGTTCGACGTTCTTCTGGCCTGGCTGCTTTTTTGTTTTTGTTTTTATTCAATTTAGCGATTTACCCAATCCAAACAATTGTGCTGGCCAAAAACTCAGGCGGAGTGCAGCATTATCTCACTGCTGGCTGCTGCGACTGCGGCGCATAATTATCACCTCACTTATTGCGCGTCCAGCGTTTGTTGATGTAAAAGCACATTTAATTTGGTTTGGTTACTTGTAAAATCCAGACTGCTCAGTTTGTTCCGACCAGAGAGCGAGCGAGAGAGCAGAGCAGAGTGAGCGGCTCTGCAGCGGGCGGGAGCGAGATAACAACGGCCAACAGCTGACTGGGGTGTATCGATAGCAGGTGGCCAGACGCGGTGGTTATCGAAACGCTGTTACTAGCGGTGAAAATAGCAGCGTTCACACTAAAAAATTGGTAAAGCTTTTAATTTTATTTAACTTTAACTTTAATGTCTATAAATTTAAAGTACAAATTTTTGCGCATTCTTTAAAGCAGTGACTTTATATCTGTTAATTATCAGCTGTCTTATAAAATTTAATTTTTCAGAAATTTGATTACAAAGATAATTTTTTTGTCAGTTACTAAAAATCAAAATAAATGAAATGATTTATGTTTTTAGGTCATAGTTATACGAATTTGTTCAATTTTCAAGAGTTCAACAGTCTGCAACACGTCACCGCGTGTCTGAAAAAAACCACTTTCGATTAATTCGCATCCCAATCGAAAAGGTCCGGGTGTGAAAACGTTCACGAAGCAAATATATCGAGGCGACGGCGTCGTTTGCACTTTGCGAGCGGCAAAGTTTTTAGTTCCCGTGCGAATGTTTGGACAGAATTAATCCTCGAGTAATATGAAGAAGGCCAAGCCGCTGCTGCACGACCATTTGATAACGATCCGAGTGAAGAAGGTGGGTCCAAAACCGCAGTCCAACTTCCCCTTTCTCCCCCCGCCCACAACCCCGATAACCGGCAAATTCCCTTGAAAAAAAAACCGAAAAACCCTTTGTAAGGGCGGCGAATTTGGGCAAGGAAAACAAGGTTAGGTCGCAGACTGCCCGCATCGTGTGTTAATTGCGCTTCTGTTCCGATTTCAGTACCTCGAGGAGCACATCGGCGAGACCTACCTGGATGTGAAGCAGATGACCAGGGAGTTGATGCAAAAGTACCCGGAGTACTCACGACGCAAATTTGGACCCTTTAGGCAGTTGGTGCACCAAGGTAAACAATGGGCAAATTGGGATTGAAAACCTTTTAGTACATCCTATGATAGCTATGAAAATGAGGTCCACGTCACGTTTTACTGTCATAAGAAGAAAGTTAAGTTGACCCTGGAAATATTTTTATATGACATTCTGATTAATCATGTTTTTTTTATCGATAATATAATCTATATTATAAAATATTTTCCCAATTCTTACAGCATTTTCCATCATCTCGGATAGCTACAACTTGGACAAGGTAAGCAGCTCCGAAGACGACTGCATCAGCGAGGAATTCGAGGCACCACCCACCAATAGTGTGATGAACAATATGATGAACAGTCTGTACAGCCAGTCTGTGCCAAGGAAGTCATTGGCCGCCAAGCCCATCAGCGAACCCATCGATATATCCAGTGGGGACGACAACGACGATGACTCCAATACCAACACCACCAACGGAGACGGACCTACCGCTCCTCATCCTCCAGCTGTTCAGCCCAACGCCTTGAAACGCCTGATGGAAGATGTGCCGGAGACAACAGCAGCTCCTAAGAAATGTGAGTTTTGATAGAAAGAAGGTAAAACTCGGTTTAATTATAAGTTCCATTAGCAGCTAAACCGAATACCCATCAAGGCGCTGGCCCGGAGTCGGCACACAAATGTGAGTGTTTCCCCGCATTACCCCTCTAAAACCACTCAAGCCTTCCCATTCAGTTCCAACAGGTATGGGTCCTAGGGGTAAAAATCACTCTGAGGACGCCGGTCAACGCAAGGAGCATCGCAATGCGTCCAGTTTGTATCAGCAGCTGCATCAAAACCAAAACCGGGACCGCCCACGGAAGTACAAGAAGGAGCTGGAGGTGCAGCACACCACAGAGAGTTTCCGGGACATCGGCGGAATGGATAGCACCCTGAAGGAGCTGTGCGAGATGCTGATCCATATTAAATCGCCGGAGTTCTATTTTCAATTGGGACTGCTGCCCTCGAGAGGTCTTTTGCTGCACGGTCCGCCAGGTTGTGGCAAAACCTTTCTAGCCCGTGCCATAAGTGGGGTATGCAATATAAAAGAAAGTTACTTTGGTATCTTATTTAAGACCCGTCTTCCCTCTCCCCATAGCAACTGAAAATGCCGCTGCTGGAAGTGCCAGCCACGGAGCTGATTGGTGGCATCTCTGGCGAGTCGGAGGAGCGCATCCGTGAAGTCTTTGAACAGGCAATGGGCTATTCGCCTTGCGTGCTCTTTATCGACGAAATCGACGCCATCGGCGGCAACCGACAGTGGGCGTCCAAGGACATGGAGCGGCGTATTGTGTCGCAGCTTATAAGCAGTTTGGACAACCTAAAGGCCAACGAGTTTGGTCAGTCTGTAGTGGTCATTGCGGCCACCACACGTCCCGATGTCCTGGATCCCGGTCTACGGCGTATTGGTCGCTTTGATCACGAAATTGCCATACACATACCGTCGCGCAAGGAGCGTCGTGAGATCCTGCGCATCCAGTGCGAGGGCTTGTCCATCGATCCGAAGCTTAATTATGATAAGATTGCCGAACTAACTCCAGGTTATGTGGGCGCTGATCTGATGGCTTTAGTTAGCCGTGCAGCTTCAGTAGCCGTAAAGCGTAGGTCCATGAAGAAGTTCCGCGAACTGCACGCTGCCAGCGAGAAGAATATGACCACGGTAACTCTAGATGACGATGAGCCCATCGAGGAGTCTGGTGACAAAGCTAAACAAGAAACAGAGGCTGAGCCAAAAGGTGAAAAAGAAGCTGAAAAGGAGGCTGAGACCGAAGAAAAGGCGGATGGTGACAAGGAGGCGACCGATAAGGAAAAGTCCGAGGGCGACACAGCCAAAACAGAATCCCCCAAGAAAGCGACCAATGGCAAGTCACCTGAGAAACCAACGGACGCCGCCATGGAGGTGGACGAAGAGGCTGCCGAAGAGCCGGAAAAATCCGCAGAGCAGCAAGCAAACTCCTCCAACGACGAATACTACGAGCCCACGCTGGCCGAGCTGACCAACTTTCTGGACAATCCTCCAGAGGAGTTCGCTGATCCAAATTTCTGCCTAACTCTCGTCGATTTCGTGGACGCCATCAAGGTAATGCAACCTTCGGCCAAGCGCGAGGGCTTTGTCACTGTGCCGGACACCACTTGGGATGATATTGGAGCCCTTGAAAAAATTCGCGAAGAGCTTAAGTTGGCTGTATTAGCGCCAGTTAAGTATCCAGAGATGCTTGAACGCCTTGGGTTGACTGCTCCTTCGGGTGTTCTGCTTTGCGGTCCGCCAGGTTGCGGCAAAACTCTTTTGGCCAAGGCTATTGCCAATGAAGCTGGCATCAATTTTATATCGGTTAAGGGACCCGAGCTTATGAACATGGTGAGTTAAATGATTGTCGATGTTTCTTTCCAAGCTAATCAATATATCTTTCTCCAGTATGTTGGCGAAAGCGAGCGCGCTGTGCGTGCCTGTTTCCAGCGTGCCCGCAACTCTGCACCCTGCGTCATCTTTTTTGATGAGTTCGACTCCTTGTGTCCCAAACGATCGGACGGTGGCGATGGCAACAATTCCGGAACCCGCATAGTCAACCAGCTGCTGACCGAAATGGACGGCGTGGAGGAGCGTAAGGGCGTTTATATCTTGGCGGCCACCAACAGACCGGATATCATTGATCCGGCTATCCTGCGACCTGGTCGTTTGGACACCATTCTGTATGTGGGTTTGCCCGAGCAGAGCGAACGTGCAGAGATTCTAAAGGCCACCACAAAGGTAAATGGCTTTTTTATAAGTATTTTCATTTATAAATGTTATTTCCTTTTTTCTTGCAGAACGGAAAGCGTCCTGTGCTGGCGGAGGATGTAAATCTCGACGAGATTGCCGCACAAACTGAGGGCTACACTGGCGCAGATTTGGCAGGACTTGTTAAGCAGGCCTCTATGTTCTCCCTGCGCCAATCTCTAAACGATGGCGACCCAAAACTCGATGATCTGTGCGTACGCAGCCAGCACTTCAAAGAGGCTCTGCAGCAGTTGCGCCCCTCAGTTAACGAGCAGGTAAGAATGCCGCAAAATATTCTTGCTTGTACTCTTGCTAACTGTGTATTTTATTGACAGGATCGCAAAATATATGATAAACTGCGCTTAAAATACGCTGCACCTAGGGTACCCACCTTTGATGACAAGTAACGCTTTCAACAATAATGGATTTGTTGGATTAGTCGATAAGAACACTCGTGAATCAAATAGAATATGAATTTCGAGGATAAACGTATGATTTTCAATACAAAAACCGTAATGTTACCCAAAAACCAAATATTTTTTGAAATTGTAAGCCTACCATTTGAAATGTGTAGAGGGAAATGCATTTTGTTTTTTTGAAAGGTTTTCAGAGTTTTTAAATATATCAGATTCATTTTTAAACTTTTTTTTATTCATTTGCTTTTTGTTTTATATAGCAACTTAAACAATTGGTTTTTATTAATGACTTTTAACCTTATAATTGACATGTCTGTAGGATTTGAATGAAAGGGGCTATTTTATTTTCGTTTCATCGCAGTTAAAGTTGGCCTACACATTTAATTTAAAACAAATCTCTTACACGTTCGCACTAATCATAAACATAAACTTCTTAGCTTATAGAAACACCCCTAGCGGCATTGTGGATGAGATGGGAGGTTGCCATGGCTGGTGAGAATAACGCCATCACCACCGCCCCGTCCATCACGACTGAGTCCTGATCGCTTCACAGGTGGCACCCGAGGTTCCAGTTGCCGGGGGAAGAGTCCGGCGGGCAGGGCCTGGATTCCTTCAGGCAGGACATGCGGTTCACTTGCCTTGAAACCCTTCTGAATTCGGAGGATTTCATCGTGGGTCGCCCGAACCGTGCGCTTCGCCCGCTTCTTCTTGGGTTTCGACTTGGCACAATCGCCACCTGCCGCAGTGGACTCCTCCGTGGATGCAGTAAGGGTTTCTGTTGCCACACCTTCATTACCCGCCTCGAATCGAGGCGGACGAGGCAGTGGCGGCTCATTTTCACGGACAATCTGAAGGCGCAGGTCATAGGAGCGCTTGCACATCTCCCGAATTCCGTACCAGCTTTCGTGTCCAATTTGACTGATCATCTCCACCGGTGGTTGAAAGCCGAGCTCCCGCGATGGCAACTCCATCACCAAAGCCATCGGTACCTTTAGCACACCATATACATAGTCTACAACGGATCCGGCAATGGTTCTCTTGGTCAGACAACTGATGCTCCCCGTTCGGTACTCTCTTCCGTTGTAAGATTTAATGGCACTCCTGCCGGAATTCGCTAGTGAGCTCAGTTCCCGCCAGTACAGTGGGTTATCACGGCAGTAGCCCCATGGGTACATTATGCTCTGGCCATACGAGTGCAGCGAAAGAAAGAAGAGCAAATTGGAACTCATCCGGTTGAGCATGTTCCTCATGGCCCGCGTTTCCGGCTCGGAAAACGGACATTCACCTTTGTAGGTGTTGCGGTTGACCTTGCTGGGCCCGCTGTTCCAGAAGATGTCGTAGTTTCGGTTGCAATCGGTGCCCACAAATTTGCTGGATTTGTGGGGTCGCCGGTTCTTGCGCCACTTGGCGTTCTGGGGAGAAAGAAGTGGTCATTATGTTAGGAACCGCTGCATCTTTTAATGTATGATTAATACAACAAAGATGATCTCTAATTTCGTTCATTTAAGATAGTATGTAATGCTCGCCGTTAAAAAATAAGGTTAAATATTAAACAAATATTTGACTTTTTCAAAACCTCACTGAAATATAAACAAATATACTATTAGTATTTGGTTTTAACTGAAATATCATCAAATCATTCTTAATTACGTTAAAATTAATGGATCCTTTGTTTATTGCCTATAGAATTTACCTTTGTTCGGGAGTACTCGTAGCCATCGGGATTGACCAGCGGGACGATAATGAAGCGCAGCTTGCGGAGCACCTCTATGTTCCTGGTGTATCGCTCCGTCAGCTGGTAGATGCAATTGAGGGCCGTGGAGATGGTGATCCATTCGCGCGCATGTGTTCCCGCCTCTATGAAGACGGTTTTCCGGCAGTGCTCACCCTGGTGGACCACCGGAACAGTGGACTTTCCATTGGGAGCGATATCGAAGGACCGCGGCGATTGCTCCCGAATTAGTGGGGACAACTCCACGTTATCCGAGTTCATCCAGTTGATCTCCAGAGCTCGAACTTCCCTCTTCTCGTGCGTGAGTCCCAAAGTGTGCATGCGCACGAAATGGGGATACCGCTGGACCAGGTACTCCAGATACTGATTGATCTGCTTGTACTCCAGATAGGTGTGCAGTATGTCCGGCCGTGGGATGACCATTCGGCGCAGTGGCGTTACGGGAGCATCTCGGCTCCGGTCCTTTGCCGTCTGAGTATTACGTTTGGATATGGCCGCCATTATAGAGAATACAAAGGATTTTAAAAAGAGAAACAAAAAAGAAAAAGGTTTTATCACTGCAGAATTTAAGAATATTGCCTATCGTATGGTTGAGACTCAATTGAAAACTGAGACTTCGTTTGGAACTGACACCTAAGGGAAATTAGCCTGGCCTGCTGGGTGGGATTCTCACCTGGCACTTGATGTTCAGATGAAGCCGCTCGACCACGAGCAGAGCGAGCCGTGTGCTCTGCTTGGGTTTGTCTTCCATTGTGCGGGCTTAAACGGCGGTCGCCCGGTTTTTGTACCACTAAATGGCAAAAATCGTACTCCCACGGAAAATCCAACTCCCCTTGAGTTGTTCCTGATGATGCACTACAAGAAATTTACTTTAAACACACTGTTGGAATTTATTAAAGATTTTCTTAGGGTATATTTTTAAATTTTACAAACATATTTCGAATTTCTAGTTATCATAAAACATATATCACCATAATTATAAGAACAGGAAATCAATAAAGACAAAGTCCTTAAAAAAGAAGGTGGTGTTATTATTTTGGAAACAATTTAGATAGCTTTTATTTTGTCAATTTAATTTAATTTTCTCTTTTGTTCCAAAGAGTAAATTATGCATTTATACATGGTAGTTAATTACAGTTAAAAAAAAAAAAGAATTTTTAGAAAAGAATTTTCGTTTTCAGTGAATTTTAAATTTATTACATAACTACATAGACAGCACATTAGAATTTTAAGTTTTTGGATTTTTTCTTTGAGTGTTGAGTTCGCAGTGGGTAAATGGGACAGCGACAACGTTTAATAAGTTGGGCACGGTAGCATGTAATGCGGAATTGGATTTGGATTCCGGCTCGGAATCCCCAGCCTGGCTGCAGCTGCCACAAAACGCAAATATGCTAAATGTCAGACAGGAGGACGGGGTAGCTTGACTGGTGGGCTTGGAGCAAAATCAGGAAAGGGAACAGGAGCAGGAGCAGCGGCGTGGGCGTCCAAAAGCACAGAAGGCAACTTCCAGGGCAAATAAACAGGGACTCCTGGAGCTGGCGTGCAGCCTGGGAAACGAGCAACGATTTTGGAGGAGGAGCGGTTTCAGTCCTTCTCCGGTTAAGCGTTTTACAGCGAAGTTCATTTGTGGATCTCGGCTTCCTGATTACACTCGGCTGCAGGAAAAAGAAAATACAACAAAATTGTTATTGAAAAAGTTACAGTTATCAATGTTGGTTTAAATAACTTAAATAATTTTGCGATGCATTAAAAATAATTCAGATAATCTTAAAATCCTATTATACTTGTACAATTTCCTTATCTTCACTTGAACAATAGGTATTTATCTTTTAAGAAGTTCTGCAAGCAATATATACAGTAAGTGGATAGCTATCTAACATTTATTATTAGATTAGTAATTCTACATTTATAAAGAATAATACTCAAATGTATTAGTTTATTATAGCATTATTAATGGCCTTTCATGTGCCTAATTGCTGATCAAACGAATGTTCCGCCTTATGATGGCCATAAAAATATATTTCAACTGTTCTGCCAACTTGTTGCGGAGTGTAATATATTTCTTATGGCCTGGCAAATGTCATGTCAACGCAAAAGTCAAAAGTGCGCGGCAGGTCGGTGTAGAACCACACACAAAAATGCATACAACTGTAGAGCCGTATCCTTAACTGAATCCATATAAATTGGTATAAATATGTATGGCATATAGCGGGAGCAACGCAACCAGTTGATTTATACAGGAACCATGTTCGTGTTGATTTTCATTTAACGGTCTTTTAGTCAACTTCCTGACACAGTGACTGCCATATATTTACGTCTGGCTATGTCTACATAATACATTGTTGGTAACAACTTTTTACTACTTTCTCAGTTGATACTCTACCACTATAAAACTGTAAATATTTCTTATTAAATGATATAGTTAGGATTTAACATTGTTAATATAATGTAATACTTATTTTTAAAGTTTTCAAAATTCTTTTTTATTTTTTTAAATAAGGACCGAAAAATGTTTTAGATCTAAAATTACTTCTCTTTCATGAGGTTACCTTGATAAATCAGTATATCTTATTTAAATCAGTATACCTTCTCTTTAAAACCCTTTACCCCTTTTATTTCAGTGTAACTTGGTATAAACACGCAAGGTCCCTTACCAAATGGATGAATGGAGCAAGTGAAGCCTTTCCCAGTCAGTAAGTCAGTCGGTTGGTCGCCCTCCTTTAGGGGTAAAAGTTAAAGGGGAAACCCTTTTCAAGTATGCATTATGTCATTAGCATGTTGGCAAATATAAAGGGCCAAACTTTGTGGAATTCTGGGGCTTTTTTTCCTGTTGCTAGCCTGACGGCTGTCTCCTGTCTTTCGTTCGAGTTGCGATGACGAAATGTAATGTAGCATAAAACTGTTTACGAATTAACGAAATTCCAAACAATTATGCCCAAACAAGTTCGGATTTCCTGGGAAAGTTTTTCCCTGGACCTGCCCCAACAAGCTGAATTTTTGTCATGTGGCAGGGCAATTTAACTTTGGGCAATTTGGCATAGTTTTTAAGGCAATATTCTGATTATTTTGATTACTGTGCAAGCTCAACAAGATTTCCCACTCCACGAGCCAATAAACACTCTATTAAGAAAACATAAACACAAGAACAAATTATTTTACACAATGGCTTAACCTTTAAGAAAACCTAAGTTATTCGCTTTAATATTCATATATTCTATTATTTAATATGCACGATAATATCGTACTGCACAAGTTAAGATCAAATCTTTTTTCTTGAATTGAAAATCTCTGTATCGATCATCTAAATTTATTTCTGTGCACTCCGCAGTTCCGTTCCCAGGCAAGAGATTTAAGATTTCATGTTCATGGTTAAGGCCAAACGCATCTATTGTCACCAGAGGTTTTTCAGATGCAAATAATGCCGCCAAAAGCGCGACCATAACAAAGTCATGCCTTGAGCCGAACAATACCTAAAGCCAAATAGATCTCTCCTTATACGAATGTTTATAAGCCTTTAAGTTAATGCGATCGCAGAGCTGAGATAGTGAATTAATTTGCTGGGGAAGGTGAATGCCCTTTGGGCTGCTGTTAGATAATAATGGTGGTTTCTGGACCCGGCTAATAAATAAACTAAAATGATTTAGAACTCGTCTAGAGAGCTGACATTAAGCCGAGTGGGGTCCATTAAGTCATAGAAGTCGCACAAATTTTAAATGTAAATTATTTTAGATAAACTAGTTCCACCGGAAATATGCGAATGGCGGCTCATTTGTTCATCTCCATCTGCCGAACTCCCTATCGAAAACCGAAATACTGCAGGCGGAAGTGCCGGAAGCTATGGCCAAGTGATATAATTACACACAAAAGCGAACAGAGCCGAAAGCAAAGTCAAGACGAATGAATTCAAATATAAATATCAGATGATGAGTTGGACGTTGAGTGACCTGGCTTCTGGCAGCGATCACAATGATGATCTCTTGACGAATTAATGAACTCAAGAAATGCGTATTTAGACGTTGGATATTGATGGTAACTGTAATAAACCTAACCAAGCCATTGCTTCCGGCTATTTTGGGGGCCCGTGACCTTGTCCGTTTTTGGCCAAATTCGAAAGTTCAGTGCTCCAAAGTGTGGCCCATCTCCATCTGCGGATAAGACACGAGCACATCTTGAACTTTCAAATCGAATCGCAACAGAACACTCATCATCATGACATTAGGAAGCCGCCAGCATACGGGTTCCTCTATAAAAACCAGAAAATAAACAAGCAACGGCTTCAGAACCGATTCACGAATCGCCATATGCGGATGCAAATCCACAAAATAAGCCAGAACAAATTGTTAGTGCGACAAAAAGTGATCAATAAATACGGACAAACAAGTTTTTGATTTCCAAAAAAAAAAACGTAAAACCAATTAGTTAAAGAAAAGAAAAAGTACAAATTAAAGGGAATCGAACCGGTGAATAAATTATGCAAAAATAACAAGAAGTTCTAAGCCGAAAGTTGAAATATATCAAATAGGCCAAGACGCGTGCCCAAAATCTTGTCTCGTGACGCGTTTGCCGCTTTTTTATTTCGGAACTTCCAAAACTGGTCGCAAAGCCCGACCTTGACACTCACTTTTCTAAACAATCAGCTCGGATCCGATCCGAGACCATTTTTTCGGCATTTTGGCCAGCATCTCGTCTTCTTTCTCGGCCGGTTTACAGACCGCCCGTCAGTCTTCCGCCGGACCGGAGATGAAACGCACGGATCGCGTCCGCTGAACAGTGATCATTTCAGAGTTTTCCCCCCAAGCTAATAACTCCAACTAAAAGCTCTTGAAAACTCTTACCTAATCGCCACAAGTGCAGCGTGCAAACAATAAAACAAACCAGCTAAACAAAAGTGCATAAAAAATAACATACAAAAACGTGTGCTTGTCCATGCAACTGAATATTTTAATACATAATTAGCCAAAGATCGTGGAAGCATCTCAGTGTGGAAGTGCACTTAGTATATATACATGGCTAAAATGTGGCAGGGAATCGTGTGGAGCTGGGCTTTATGCCTCGTCGGATTGGCGGGTTTCGGCCTCGCCAACAATCTCGCCGGCTACGAAGGGTAATCATCAGCGGCTACTCGCATTAATTATAATTTACATCGTTGCCAAAAAGAAGGAAAAAACAAATAATACGTAATACACATCAATCAAGTGGCTCTTCTTTAGGGCAAGTCATTAATTGGATTTTTTTTTGGTCAGTGGTTAAGTGTTTCTAGCTGAGAAACTGGTTTTGGCATCTTTCACGGTCAGGGCTTAAATCATCAGGTTGTGCTAACGAGGACGACCATTCCTGTCATCCTGAATCATTCCAAAGGCTCCAATAAACACAGCTGAGTACATTATAAAACCATCCAGCATATTGAAATCGGTCTGTTGTGATCGGTAGGATAGATATGGAATGGCTAAAATAGAGGCCAGCCAGAAATAGCGATACTGGTTACAGAAAAAATTGGCCATATCCCGAAGTACTTGCAACATTTTGATGCTTTTTGGTGTTTTTTATGCTTAATGTGTGTT